AAATTACAGCCTTGATTGAATGCATATCACTGGTTTTGATGAGATAATCAGGTTTTCGCTTGTTAGAAATTGAAGCATATACAATGCCATGCAAAAGCTTACAACACATTACAAAAAATGCTGCTTTACGTATTTCTAACACAGATTAATGAATCTTTTACTGCTAATATATGTTTAAGCCTTTAGTCAAACAATTAAGAATTATAAAAGAAAATAATCAAGAAAAATATCCCACAAAGAAAAACCAATATTTAATAACACAAAAATTTACAATACACTTATTAAATCACCTATTAATATTTTGTAGTGTAACCTTTATTGCTAATTGCAGTATATAGGCATTTAGAGTAGTCCCCTTCCAATTTCTTGCATGTTTCTTGGCTAATATTTTTTCATTCTTCACAATAAATTTCCTTTCGTTTATACAGGTTTTGTAGGTTTTCTTTGAATTCTCAGTTTCAGCTCTCTCCATAAATTTTCAATCAGATTGAGAGCCAGAGATTGACATGGCCATTTTAGAATGTCTATTCTATTTGAACTTAACCATGATTTTATAAGCTTTGCAATGTGTTTAGGATCGTTATCTTGTTGAAAAACCCAACCTGGTTTTGAGCCCAGAGAATGTGCAATCTGACATAAATTTCTGTCCAAAATATCCCTATAATATGCTCCATTCATTATTCTATTATTTTATTGTTCTCTACACCTTGGGCACTAAAGCTACACAAAATCATAATTGATCCCCCTTCAAATTTTACTGTTGGGATAGTATTCTTTGGCAAATATTCAATACCTTTTTTCTTCAGACTTTTGCTACGGCATTTCTGCCAAAATGTTCAATTTTGTTTCATCTGACCAAAGTACATTTTCCCAAAATGCTGCAGATTTGATACAATGCTTGTTTGCAAAATCCAGTCTAGCAAGAATGTGTTTTCGCTTAAGTGATTTTTTTTTTTTTTTTTTACTTGGAGTCCTCAAAAAGATGTCATATTGACAAAGTGAACAACTAATTGTAGCCGTACTCACTTTTACTCCACTTACGCTTAAAGAATTTCAGAGAGGACTAGAAGTAACTCGGGGGGGTCATTGCCAACTTTTCTCATCAATAATTTTGCTGTATTTTCTGTTACCTTTCTAGGACAACCAGAGCTTTTTGGGGGAATGAATGAAAATGACACGTCTTCCATTAACAAGCTATCATACCAACTGAACTCAATGGCACATTTAATTGACTAGATATCTTCCTATAACCAAGTCCATTTGTATGAAGGTCAACAGTATGTTTACAGAGATCTTGATCAATTATTTTGCTTTTCCCCCATTTTGTCAATGTTTAAAGTATGGTTGACAGAAAAAGAATGGCAATACTTTTAATCATAAAATTAATCTGGAACATCCTAGTAAAATATGTATGAACAGTTTTATTTAAAAAAAGCTGTTGTAAATTTTTAAGTTACTAAATCTTGGATTTTCTTCATGGGATACTACTTTTTTTCTTAAAATCTGATTGTGTCACTGAATACCTAAATATATGTTCTATAAGTAGTAAAAGCTTAATTAATGTAACTATTAGAAATACCTAAAAAAAAGTTATTCTGTAATGTGTTGAAAACTTTTGTGTGGCATATATATAATATAATATAATTATTTTAGTGGATAGTGATGTTTGAAATAGATGCTCCATTTTAAAAAAAAAAAAAAAAAAAAAAAAATTATATATATATATATATAAAAAAAAGAAAAAAAGTGTATCTTACATTTATCAGTTTGTGCACTTAAAAGAAAATGTGCTCTGTGTATAAAAGAATAGGATTTTATACTAGAACTAATTCTAAAGCAAATGAAGTAACATTCATGAAGCCAATAGTAGAAAGTAATGTACACATTAATTTAATTTGTTTTTCTAACTACTTAAGCCATGCTGGACATTAGTGGTGTGTTCGTTTAAGATTTAGTCACATTTGAGTACAGTTGCTTATTAAAAATAAAACACTTATGGAATTTCATGCCCTCTTTACTTTTCCTTTGTTAGGTTACATTATTCTTTTGCTGAGTCTAATACTATCTTGTTAGATGTTGACTTGAAATGCTGCAACAATAATTTGGTAATAGATACACTACATATACTTAAACTCCTTTAGGTTTTCTATAAACATAACCAAAACTCAAGCCTTAGTTAGTCCCCTGACCAGCTCTATTTAGTTCCATGTTTGTATATTGTCAGAGGTAATTCTTGCAAACTCCTTGATCATTCCCCCAACAACCTTATTATTTCCACTTCCAGAGACATTCATTGACCACAAATATTTTCACTTTTAAATGTTTTTTTTTTTTAAAATAAAAATAACACTGTCATAGCAATGTTATTTTGGACTGTTTTGGTTGGTTAATTATTGCGTTTTCATCAAGTCAATATTTTGCTTAGTAGGTAACTACAATAATTTTGAGCACAGGTACATCACAAAATTATCCATTTTTCCAGATCAATAGAATACAATAACACACTTCTGACAACTGCATTTCTTGTATCAATGACTGGATAAAAGACTTTAGGTAGAGCTATTCATATATCATAGCTTAAAGATAGAAACACTTCCACCTGCATTGATATAGACTTGTGTTTACTTTGACATAACTGACACTTGCAAGCCAGGCTTAAATATAAGCAAAATTAAAACTGCAATAACCACAAGTGATTGTGTACTGGTGAAAGAGTCTGGCAATTGCATGAAATTCAAATGCTTGCTGATAATTTTTAGTATTTTGGATTACAAGTTGTCCGCCAAATCATTGGTGCATCTGTTTTTTAATTGAATACCACATGGGAAATAATGCAAACTCATTTCCTATATAATATTTTGATGTTTTATTCAGGGTTTTACCTGCGCTTGGGTGGGTGGGTAGGTAGGTAGGTGATGATACTCGAGACAACTTCTGCTATGGGGAATCTCATAGATCAACTCCTTGCTCCTCTACACAATCCAATGTGTAGCTGGCAATATGAACAGGTAGCATTGGAACCACGCAACAGACAAATCTGTTTCCTGCTAAAGGCAAACCAGAAATGACCCTCCACTCCTTTTCACTTTAGAAAATTAAACATAACCATCTGCTGGAGATAAAACCACATCTCCCTTTTCTACATGGGTGTCTATAATATCACAATAAAACCTAAATACAAATGCTGGTAACTCTTGCCCTCGGGTAGACATCTGGCAAGCATAAGAATGTAGAGAAATAAAACAGACAACTGTTAAGACATAAACGTACTCTTTATTTATAAATTTTTAAAGTGACAATTTGATTCAAGAAATTTCCCAACTGTTTACATGAATTAAAGCAAGTCTTCCCCCAAAAATGTGAAATTGTGTGCAAATTGTAGGATAGAGAGATAATGTTGGAAGAGGAAAAGAACAAAGACAATGAATTCCTACAACCAAAATATTTAAAGCCAACCAAGTCACTGTGCTCCTTTTTCTCAAGTCTTTTTACACACACACACACACACAAACCAGCTCAACTGAAATCTGATATTAATGGATTAATATTTTTTAAATTATACAAATTCTTTCTTTTTCTGGAAGAAGGAGAATATAAAACAAAAATGTATCAAATTTCAGCAAAGGTGTTGTGTTTAGGAGAGGTAAAGTCTTTGACAACATTTAAGATAGTCCAAGGATTTGGAGTAGTAATTGGGACTGACTTAGTTTATGGGAAACTTTGCTTATGGAAAAATGATCCATGACAAGATAAAATCTGAAGAAATTCCATTGCTTTATTTAAAATGCAACATTTAAACATTCATCTTTTCTTTCTTTCTAAAAATACATTTTTTCCCTTCTTCAAAAGAAAACAAAAAAAAAAAAGTGGGTTTCATTCCTCACAAATTTAATGCTACATTTAATGGACTCAGCAAAATCTACTTGAATTTTGAAGATGATTAGTCAGAGCAGTGGTTTAAAAAAGTCAATGTTCACATGACTGGGGTGGGGATTGCTTTTCATAGTTAAACTAATGAAAGGAACTTCAAGAAGCCTGGAAGTTAAATGATTTTAACATAGAAATGAGGGGAAAGTGGGTAATATACAAACAGACCAGAAAGTCAATCATTTTTATTTTCCTGCAAAACTACACCAGATCTTTGCAAAATGTGTTAATACATGAAACACTACCCCAAAATAGCACTCAACCTGCAGAGGGGAGAGAATTAGAAAAGATTTGCACAAAGTCTGTGTGTGAGATGCTTGGAGTTTTCAAGGAAGGAGGAGGAGGAGAGAGAGAGGACATGATCTAGCTAAATGAACAGCAGGGACGAAGAGGAGGAAATAGCTATGTACAAAGCCCACCATTTATTCACCCGCAAAAACCACACAACACTCCCACTGCTAATCCACTTATAACCCAAACACTTGATATTTTTAAAAATATTTTCCATTCTTTTAAAACTGACCTCCCAACCAATTTATTTTTCCACAAAGTTCCCATTATCCTCTTCTCTGCTCTTCACCAAGGCAAAACAATGTTACCCATTTAATACTGACCAGGTTTAACCTTGCTTATCTCGTTCTACTAGCTTTCCCTAATTTACTATCACAGTTGGATAGATGTGCAACTGCCATTATATATCTTTATTGTTACCTTAGTCTGAGTGTGTTTTATTACCTTTTTTTTTTTTTTGGGGGAATAAGTGATCATGACTTTCAAAAGGAGGAGGAAAATAACTCCTTTCATGCATTTGAAGAAATGCTAAGTTTTTAATGTCTTTTGTTGTGCTTTCCCTACCCAACTTGATAGCAAATATGGAGAGAGGAAACCAACTTGTCAATGGAGAAAGAAACTGAGGTGTTTCTTCTCGTCAAGCATTTCCAAAGACAGCAGTAAAATTGAAAGGATCTGCTGATGGTTAGAGTGGCAGTCATTGTTAATGTCTTCATTTGCCGAGACAGAGTTTGAAATGTAACCCTCCCCTCCACACATACACGTACACTGTTGGTTATCAATCATAACATATAGTCAAGTTCATAGCGGATGTATTGATTTTTGACATCATTTGGTATACGGGGGTAGGCAGGAATCATGCCGTCCTGGGCACCAATATACACAGTGTTGTACACCTTCCAATAAACATCTCGTACTTTGCGGGCAGGATGGAAAAGACCCTAGAATTTGGAAGAGAGAGAGAAAAAAAAATTGGTAAGAGAAGAAGTACAAAATTTTGTTCTTGTCTAAAATTGTTATGCAAAAGTTAAATGGCCCATCAACATTAACATAAAGAGATGACCTTCATCTTTTTTTGGCAACAATTAGGTTATCGTTATTAATAGTAAACATTTTAACTCAATAGCCATAGCACAAAGCTAACATACTTGATAACACTTCTTCAACTAGTCTCGCCAAACAAACAAAATTGTTTGGTTAACACAAGGAGAGGGGTGGGTGGAGAGGATATTATTTTATTTCATGAGAACAAAAGCTTAAAGCCAAATTTTAAAAGAAAAGTTAGAATATTTTTTTTTTAAAATTTCTTTCCTTCTAAATATCAGAATTTAATAACTGCCCCAAAATGAAAGTTCTTTTAAATTATTTGCATCACTCAAGAATTTCTTGGAGGGATGCGGGGGTGGTCCTTACATGCCATCAAATGTTTTTCAAATTTTACAAGCATTATCAAAGTAGACGCTAAAAATATATATATATGCCATTAATTAAATTTAAATAACAATTTGATGTAAGAATAAGTTTTTACCTGTTTTGATATTTAAAAGTGTGCAGCTGTAAAAGTCAACTTTTATAAGAATAAAATAAAGAAAGAAATCAAATGTCAAAAAAAGTGGAAAATATTCACAAATATTTTTGATAGACAGAAGAATTCCTTTTATAAAAAAAAAAGATCCAATCTTTCAACTTTTCCTATTTCTGCTGATCATCTCTCCCCACCCCCAATTTTAAATATTGAAACTCTTGTCTTATTCATCAATTTACAATATTACATCAAGTCAAGAATAAAAGGAAAACAGATATTTACCTGTAAGGCATACTGTAAAATTCTTGCCGATCCCAGGCCAACCCGTAAACCTTCAATGGCTCCCATGAAAGCTTGTACAACATGAGGCGAGGTTTCAAATATATTTGGCCAGACGTAATTCATGAGGTGATTGAGGGCGTCTTCGCAGCCAAAACCGTAAACGCCTAATGACAAATGTTGGATGGCTGCCATGGCCGTCTGACGATGGACAAGATCCCTGAAAGATGAGGAGACCATTTTAAAAGTAAGCATCACACTCTCAACAACTACAAACACTATTAAAACAACAAAGTATAGATTGTGCAAAACAATTATCAATTCCTTCTTTTAATGAACACAATAAAAGACAAACACCTTTTTCTGTCATTCCCAAAACTTACCATTGCCAGTGAAAACCTTTATGTCCAATGAGCATCTCTAAAGAGTTTAATTAAAATAGGTGTGGGGAGGGGGAATATATTACAATTATTCACTCCCCACCTCATCTCACATTACTCCCTTTCAATTTTGACCATTCATTCAACAACAGAACTTTCGGCGAAGAGGAAGAAAGAAAGAGCATTCCAAAGTTTACCTGTCCATTAAAGCGTCTTCAAGCAAAGATGTAACTGCATAAATATAATCTTTGGCCATTTCTCCAATGTACTGGAACATGAAGGAAAGTGATTTTAACACTCCAATCTGAACATTAAGTTCGGGAACTCTGTATTCATTCATCAGGGCTGGCAAAACTGTGAAAGGTGAACAGGTTTCAGCCACGATGGCAATGGCGACTGTCGTACATACACGATTCTGGCGTTCTTGGACTTTCAAGTTGTTTAACAATGTTGCCAATACATCATGAGGCCTGAGAATCAAACAACAAAAACATTAAATAGAAAATATTTACAGCAGGACACAGACAATTAACTCACAGGGAAATAGTGGAGAAGTGTGTGTGTGTGTATATATATATATATATATATGCGCAGATAAGTAGAAAAATAGGAAAGAACACGTTAGGTAAATAATATCCAGAGTTCTTTAGTATTTTTGGTTTTATTTAAAAAAAAAAAAAAAAAAATAAACAGTGCTCCATACAGAAGTAGAGCTTAAATTATAAATATTTTTTTAAAAATAGGATACCTTCAGTTACATAAGAGTTCTCACGTTTCAAAAATGATAGCCAAAAACCTCAATATAATTATTAAAATTAAATAGAGTTAAAGCATCAAGCCTGGTTTCATCCTCAAGCAAAAATTTAGGAATACATATATGTATATAAATACACACACACACACACACAGAGGGTGCTGAAAAGTTCTCAAGCCACCCACTCCTTGAAATATGGCCAATTATTTTTGCTCTTTTATTAAATATTGAAATGGTGTAGTGACATTTGAACTATGCTGTCTTTACAGTTCTTCTTAGATGTGTGTTGCACCTTCAGTGCATGCATGTGCGTTTTTATTTCCTCAACTCTACAGAAAACATTAAACTAAAAGACCACAAAGATGCAATACGATGACAAAATAGTCAAAAAGGGGATCAGCTAAAAGACAAAAACCTAAATTTCAAAAACTTATTTGAAAATCGTTTACAACACAATTTCCGAAGCAAAATAACATTTTCATATTTTAAATGTTAAATTTTTCCTTATTTTCTAAAGAATGCGAAAATACTTACCCAATGGCCTTGGCAATATAACCAAATGTGTTGACAGTTGCTCGTCGAATTGCTTTCTTGTGAGCTTTCAACAATTCCAAAAGCTCAAAGCAAATTCTCATCCATTCTCGAGCTGAAACAAACTCTGCTCCTCGATCAGCAATCCGACCCACCAAATCAATGCAATTTTCTTGCACTTTTTCTTGTCTGCAAGAAAAGAAAAAGAAAATATACCTCTTTTCTAATCATGTAATTTATATCATCGCATCTCATTGACACAACCGACCAAACAACTCACATGCAAACATCGTCATTACGACTACAAGTGTTTGCAAAAAACAAACAACATTGTCTCTTTTTTGGTGCAATATTATCCACCCTCATAGCAGATTAAGCTTTACTCCCCCACACCAGCCCCTATGCAGGAAAATATCTGTGTGTTTGTGTGTAATGAATATGCTTTTAATGCAAGCATGAAAAATCACTAAAGCACATCTCCAATATTTCTGTGACCCACTGAATAATTTTAAAAATCATTGTTTCAAGCAAAGACTTCCAAACTGCTTCTTCGTAGAAGTATTTCTTGTTTTTTTTTACATACACTTTGAATTATTAGCTTCGTTAACAAAAGTCATTTCTGTCTGAATTTTAGGGAGAAACTGTTATTCCCACTTGGACTATTGTCCTCCTCTTTGTTGATATTATCACAATGTTTTTAGCTGTTGTATCCCTTGTCACTTGAAGAATGCCAGAAGGCACAAATGTTGAAATTGTCTGATAATAATAATAATAATAATAATAATAACAACAACAACAGAGATGAGGACATTAGTCCAAGTGTAAATAATGTAATGTCTTAGGTAATGTGTTGCAACCATTATTTTTCCCCAATAAAAATGTTTAGAAAACTCTAATTTAGGTAATATTCTTAGTAGGTATGTGGGGTCTGCCCTAGGAGTCTCTTTCTCAGTTGGCAACAACAAATTCCTCCCAAAATAATTCTTTTGTTTGAAAACAAATACATTACATTTTTTCCCCAGTAAATAATACTTACCTATTTTTGAGGATCGGTGTTAACCGAGGTAGGAGATCTTTGATAGGTGGCGTCATTTTTGTCATTCCTATCACATTGACAATGCCCTTCAAGGCACCTAATATACTCCCAAGTACTTCAGGGTATTCCTCTCCCAAATACTCATACAACACAACACCCAGATGGCCCATCAGTTTTTCCTAAAAAGAAAAAAAAAAAAAAAAAATAAATCTAGGTTAGAATAAGAAATCATAAAAAAAATGTAAGCAATCAAATTTTTCAGATTTTTTTGTCATTGTTTTTGGCATCATTGTGGCCATGTACAGAAGTTTCAATACCTCAACTGAAACTACGAGGAGGAGGAGGAGAGTTCTTTCCTCCCTATCTTTGGATAGTGCTCTTATTGTATAACCTACAGTGAGCAACTGGCACATTTGGAGAATGCACTAAACGCTTTCTTAAATTACCAATTCCTCATGTTACAAATGCCATGCAGCAAGCAGCAGGCAAATGAGACTGAAGGTCTCCGCTCATCTGGTCAAGGGTCCCAATATTTCAAAATATTGAATTCATTGAATAAAAAAAAAAAAATCATGGTTACTATTTTATGATCGAAGGCAATCAAACAAAAAAGCTGGTGTAAGCCAGGGAAATTAACGAGATTACAAATTTGAAAGATATTGTCAAATTCTGGCAACTTACTTCCTGGCAAGTCTTCATAACAACTGCGATTCTTGATATCAAATCAGCTGCTTGTTGTCGTACTTTGGCCGACTTGTTGTTTAAACGCCACAAGATGGTACCACAGATCTGTGGCAGGTAAGGCTTCACACGTTTGCCAAGGGCATTCACTACAGTGCCAAATCCGTTCAACATAACGACATCCTGTCAAAAAGGCAAACATTTTTTTTTAAAAAAAAATAAAAGCAACACAATCAAGAAAAACAAAGATTGTCTAAATAATTATTGGAGAGAAAAATAAGACAGGAATTTTGTAAACGTCAACTTTCCCTCAATTAATATATTTAACAAACATTTTCCTATCAAATAAATAAAGTTACATTGGAACAAATTCATTTTTTTAAAGCAACTCCTTTATTCAGATTTCATTTTTCATAGCTTTAAATGTCATTTCACAATATTTTGAACATCATGGTGGAAAATTATAAAATGGTTCCAAATTGAATTTCTGGCCAGAATAATTAACATCTATTTACTGATTTTTGATATGCTGACCTCAAGTGGCTTTTTAATGACATTGAAATGAATTTTGCAATTGACAACATTATTTCAAAAGCAAAATAAGTTCTTTTGTAATCTAAGATAAATTGGGTAACACACCTTGAATAATATAATAATAATAATAATAATAGCAGTAATTATAATATGAAAGTTGTAAAGATAAAGTCTCAGAAAGGATATAAAAGATGACCCCCCCCCCCAAGTCAACTGTGTTTTCAGCAAAAAAGAAAGGGTTTAAAATTTCAGGGATCTAGTCACAACTGAATCCAATTTTAGAGTTTTATGCAAGCAAAGAATCAAAAATTATTTTCAAAGCATCCGAACTTGATTAAGCCTTAAGGGGGGGGTGAGGTCACACAAATACGCATGACAAACAGAAATATCTAAGAATGAGAAAATTCATTTTCTTAAGGGTGTTTTTTATGCTTATTTTTGTTTTAATTAGACACAAAAGTATAAAAAATAATATTTTAAAAGTTCTAGACGATAAAAAATAAAGAAAAAAGTGAAATAAAACAAATATTTGGTTTCTAAATATTTAACAGTATGATACTCGTCTCGAGAAATATGCATGTAATGTAACATCATTGATTTGTTCTTCCAGATGACATAACCTCATCAATCCTAGAATTGCCAATTATTCATTTATACTCAAAGCATGATGCTTTCATTGTTGAAAAAAAGTTTCAAAACATTAATTGATGATATCTGTTGATCTGCAATTTATGGCACCCACCACAAAATGACGTGATACAGAAAGAGAGAGAGAGAGAGAAAAAAAGTTCAACAATTACAAAAAGGGAAATAATTTCTAATCTGGCCAAACTGAAACCAGTTCTACTGATAATTTAGGCTTATTACTAACTCTTTAGATTTCAAATTGGTTACATTTGTTGCTGTTAGTGTTTCCTCCCCAATTCAAACACAGACAATCCTAACAATCTCTATTTTCAGAATTCTAATTGCTTCATTCCACTTTCAAAGCGGCAAAGATCGACTTCCTGAAAAAAAGAAAATGCCATTATTTCACCCATCACTTGTTAACATTTCAATTTTCAGGTCTCTTCTGTCAGTTCTCGAACAGGTTTTTTTTTTTCACAGATTGGATGAGCAGGGTTAGCCACTGGACCCTCACCTGTTCAGGCACGAAAACAAAATCAGTTAACATCTTGCATTAGACTATTCATGTCTCAGTTTTACTAATGAGATCTTTACGAAAACGACAAACCATTTTCTCATCTTTTATACTGGACTTGATTTATACAAGATGTGAACTAAACATTTTCTGCTTACCTCCGTCGTCTGTTCTTGGAAGGCATAAAGAATACCGTCAATCAGTTGTTCTTCAAGACGTGAATCAATATCAGCAGCACCAAGGTTGCCCATCACCTTCTCAATTGTTTCCATCACCATTTTCCTGTACTGCTCAGCCTCGTCTTTCAGGTCATCCACAATTCGGCCAATGATCTCGGCTGCTCCGACCTTATTAGCGATTTCCACAGTAGTATCCACCAGCTGGAGAAGAAAAATATATCTGTATCAACTATATTTTGGCAATGGGCAAAGATCTGTTCTTTGTCCAACACAATGCTGCTCATAATGCAATTTGAGCTTGGGTAGAGTGGAACTTAGATGATTCTTATAAGAAATGTGGTTAAGTTGAAGCAAAATATTGACCTTGTAAGTCTCGCTTCCAGCCATAGAGAAGACTATGTGTGTTTATATCTTGAGACATAAAACTTAACCTAGCAATAATGGTTAAGTCAGTCCTTAGCAGCAGCCACCCATCCTTGTGGACTCATTTTGATTGGAGCATTGTAACATTTCTTTTTATTGAAATTACAGAATTTAACAAAGTCTGTCTGAAAAGTTTTAAAAACGCAGCAAAACCAAATAAAGAATTTAGTTCAAAACCCCTTAAAAGTTACATCAGTAAGAATTCTGTTTTAAAGCTTTCCAAGGTAACTATCTGTAAACTTTTTAAAATTATGTTAGCACAAAAATAAAGCATTCCAGATGTATCATGTCCATCTAAAACACATGAGATCAAAAGCAAAATAATCTCCATTTACAACTCTATTGAAATCAAACATCAAGACTTTAATTTATTAACTGATAATTTTGGCTATCAACCAACCTGGCGGTAATTTCTTCTATCCAGAGCCATTCGCTGATTCCAGAAGTGTTTGAAGAAAGGGGGTAAAATTTCTTCCTTGATATACTGAGGCTCAACACCATCTGTGGCACAGCACTGTTTGACGACCTAAAATGACCAAAAATGAAACAAAATTATAATAATTCACCCTCAAAGAAAATATCAATAATAATGTATGCAACACTGATTATTGTGGACAATGGACACACAAGTGTTTAGTATGTGTGCTGAAAAATTCTCAGCCTAACCAAGCCACACAAAACAAGACACTTTTGCACATTAATAGTACCACAAATGATAAGAGTTTGCAATAAAGACAATCCACAGATCTTAAACACTTGTCATTATTTATTCTAATGTACATGGGATTCAAATTGTTACTCCTGACCTTGTTAAACTTTAGCATGCTGCATTATCCCTTTCCAGTGCTTTCTTTTTCAATGCTTCTCAGTTGCAGTATCCTTATTATTTTCACTCTAAGTTGCTTTCAGTTGCCATAGCAGGATATGCCAATACAATTATGAAATTCAAAAGATAGAATCCAAGACAGTTGACATTGGTAACAAGAAAACTCACCTTTAATACAATTTTTTATGAAATTCAAACACATTATTATTCAGGGATCAGAGTCAGCTTCAGTGACAGGATAACCTTTTTGTACAGCAAATGAATTCACATACAGTGATCAAGGTTAAGTTCAAGAATAGAAAAATAAATAAATAAAAGTTCCTTGCACAAGTTCCTCAAATGGCCTCACCTAACTGGAGTTGAATACAATGGTTGAAAAATATTCTTCATAGAAATGACAAATATTGAACAACATATGTTTACCTGGGATTTGTATTTTTACCTCTTTGAGTCTTGTAACACAAAAGATAGAATCCAAGACAGTTGACATTGGTAACAAGAAAACTCACCTTTAATACAATTTTTTTCATTTCTTCATCTGGAGACTGAAATTCTCGAATCAGGATCAACATCACTTCTCTGGTATAGTAGTTGGCGTACTCAGCATCCATAAGGGGAATAAGATAACCAATAGCTTTCAGGAAGGCAGCTAAACCCTAGAAAAAAAAAAAAAATATATACACATATATATCCAATAGAAATAAGTGCTTCTTCAAGTAGAAACTAAGTAGTTGCAACATTTTTTTTTTTTTATATGCATGACAAAACTGACTTGTTTGTAAATTTTAATCTTATTGGAATCAGAATTAAAGGAGAAGAAACACACACTTTGTGTTTGGTTATCAGACTAATCCAGTATAAAACTCATAAAAGCAATAGGAATTAGAAATCTATTTCTCAAGAGTCAATGACAAAATAAATCCAAATGTATACAATTGGTCTTTTACAAAAGCATAATAATCTTGGGGACTAAAATGTTTTGACAACTTTCAAATTCAGAGAGACAGTTATCATGTAGAGAAAATAGAAAAAAAGATGGTCAAAGTAAATCAATTGAAATCTGAAAAGTGGAATATTACAGACTTACTTTTCCCCTGTGTTGTCTGATACCCTTCCATAAGGGTTTGAGGACACTGTCAAAGGACTCAATACCATATGGGGTAGCTGCTTCAGCAAGTGCAGCCAGAGCCAAGGCAGTAATGGTACGTACTTTCTGCTGCTCATCAACCAACCCTAGAGAAAGAAGAGACAGATGACACATTAATTGATGATGTCAAAAAAAAAAAAAAAAAAAAAAAAAAAAAGACAAAGAAAAGTGAATCAGTTATTTTCATTCATAGGAATCAAAATAAATAATCCCTTTTATTGCTGACAAGATTTGCTTATCTGAATCTAGTACAAGGCCACAGCAGAGTTCCAAACCTAATCATTGAATTAATTCTCTGTCTTGGAGACATCCTGTAATGGACAGACAGGCAGTAGTAAGTAAATAGGTGTATCTTTTGTGAAAAGCACCATATAGCACCATATAGTTTTACTAGGATTATCACTGGCATATGATCATCTATGAAGCATATTCAAGATTAAGTCTTTGGCCCATTCATTGAAAGCAGCAGACATTTTTAGTCAAATTTTACTCATTCTAGAAAACGTATTTATCACATAACATACAAGATTTCCAAATAGTTTTCAATGTAAAACAAGCAAAAAGAAACATATCTTTCAATGCCTGTTAAGTTGCATTAGAAAATTACATCATTTCTCTGACATTAAACCAAAATTTCTTAATAATTCCCTAATTTCTCTTAAAGTGGCAATTTTTTCAATTGCTAGATTCCCCGGTTGGCTGTGAATCTTCCACAATAATGATTTACCCAGTGAAAATTAAGACATCCTAACTATAGCTTACTGTCCTAAAAAAATTAATCAATGTATACAGGAAAGTTATCACTGACACACATACACTATATATATATATATATATATATATATATATATGTGTGTGTGTGTGTGAGAGAGAGAGATAAAAGTGAGGGTAACTTGGTCAGTGAAAAGTTTTGTCCAAAATAAACAAGTGGTGTACTTACCATGTTCAATAATTTCCACCAAGCTTTTGAGGTGGGGTAAAATTGCACATCCCATGAGAATGGCAATCTGTTGAACAATTTTGATGCCAGTATGTCTAGCTTGCCAGGATTTCTTGCTTTTGCACACAGCTTTCAAGAAAGGCAATAGTGAAGGAATGCCAAGAGCTGAAGCAACAACTGCAAATGCTCGGGCAGTTGTGTTACGGACGTATTCGTCCATGTTGTCAATATCAGGTCTCATTGTGGAAATCATAGTGGCCAAACCAGCAGCCTGGAAGAGAAAAGATTATCAAGTACATTAACTTTTTTTTCCATTCTTTTTAACAAGAGGCAATGAATTGCAAATATAGCTTTATGGCACATTAACTGCTATACAATGGTCAAATAATTTTTAAAATCTTTGATTACACATGATGCAAAAATGACTAATAACATACTGTAGTGCCTTAACTTTAAAAGTTGGGAATTAAGAAAGCTTATTGATAACTAGTTTCCTACCATCTGATGTGACTAGTTGTGGACATCAAACACATTTTTAGTAGATAAAAAGTCCAGTTCAAATGTGGTCAGTGCAAGTTGGTTACATGATGGCAATGAGTAAATAGCATCGATCATAAGTAATACATTTGAGTTATAAATAAAACGGCAACCATTGATAGAATATTTAGCATTAGAGGATTGCATGCCAATCAAAATTCGGACACAAAATAAAAACTTGCAAACACTTAAATACATCTACAAAAAAGGCCTGAAAGAGGAACTTTTAATCTGCATCATGAGAAATTATAACTGAGAAACAGGAAAAAGGTTGAGAAACTTGAAATTTGCACATTGCCTACACATTGTACAGTCGCTATTTCCAAGACCAAAAGAGACACTGAAAGGACAGCAATTTTTCACCCCAATGGTTGAAATTGCTGGATATAATTGTATCAAAAGTAAACAAGAAACTTTCTTCATAACAGAATTTTTAAAAAGGGGGGAAGGAACTCTTGAAAAAAAAATGCAGCACTTAGTAGTAACTATGTTGAAAAATAAACATGTCATTTTGAAGAGAAATAAATTTATTGATATTCTATACAAGTGGAAACTGGTATCAAAAGTGAGTCAAGCCACAAGCAGACAATGAGCAAACTTAAATGTAGAAAGGTTGTTTTATAGTATAGCACTAGGAAAGAAAATGGAAAAAAAAAAAAAAAAGAGTTGGTTGCATTTAAGAGAGCATTAGAATAAAATAGGGGGCGGGTGAGGATCTAATTAATTTTAAAACATCAGATGAGTGGAGGGATTCTGAAGGAATCAAATCTGAATATTAATTTAAAGATAATTTTTATAATTTAACTCAGTACAACCTTGTATACAACTGCTACATTTGTAAAGGTGGATGAAAATGATGACAAATGATGAATTACTTCCTCAGCCAAAGTCAAATTTATCTCTAAAAAATCTCAAAATTAAAACATGTGCATAAAACCCATCAATTGGATTTCTACAGAGTTTGTAAATAGAATTTTGGAGAACTGGCACCACAGTAATTTGGCCAGACAAACATTTCTTCATTTACATAAGGACATATGAAAAATAAGTTTTCTGAACTTGGTCAAGTGGGAACCTTTTCTGAACTTGGCCATGTGCTTTTCAAAAACCTTTAGAGAGTGCAGATTAATAGATTCTACTAATATATTATTTGTGACAGCTGAATCCCATGTGTGTGTGCATAATACATTTGGAGCAGTTCTATGTGACAATAATGTTATCACCGCATAGCAATTTTCTGTCAAAATAATAAAATATCATCTTTAATGTGTGGATATCTTTGTTTCATGTCTGTATAACCACCCTGAGGATGGCTCATGTGAGCCGAAAGATTAGGACCAACTTAATAAAAAAAATATTCAAATGTTGGACAATTTTTGTCTTTATTTTCACCAGAAATTAAAGCAAATATTTGAACATTAGAACGGCTCATGATCAGACATAATAGGCATTCATTGTCTGTTATATTTAATATGTTTAAATAATGATCTCCTGCCCCAATATATACATACATACACACATGATAAAATATAGTTTTAAGGTATGCTATATTCATGGATAAAAGTGCTTAATATCAGGAATAAAACATTACGTAACTATAAAAGTGGACACTGATGTCAATAAGCCTGAAGATTGTGTTCAAGCATGAAAGACTGTCACTGTCCGGTGTTGACCTCAGAGCGCACTCATATATATATATATATATATATATATATATATATATATATATATATATATATATATATATCTCATTTTGCACGAATGAAAAGTACAAATAAGAAACAAGTGATTTCAAGAGGGCCTATGAAACTCCGGAGTCAGGATGCTGAAAGTAACATCAACCAGCTAAGTGAAAAATTATATATAGTAAAAAAAGAAAGAATAGTAAGATATGTAATCCAGTGTTCTTAATGATATTTTTATTTTTACAAAACAGTGCTCAATGTAAATTTACAGAGCATAAATATTATAAATTAACTGATTTAAAAATATGGTTTCATCGCTACACAGCAATTACCACATTTCAAAAACAGGAAACAAAAACTACAAATTCAATTATATTAAATTAAAAGCATTTAGTTCTGTTTCATCATCAAGCGAATTTTGGAATAACTTATCTTAAAATTTACTGAGTTTTAAAAACACATACATTCATAATTTTTGTTTCCAAGAATACAGAGAAATTCAATCATTTAGACAGGGGTGGTAGCATGTTCTTTTTTATTAACTATTATTGTATCAATTATGAGTTACGTTCGAAAATGGGTTACGTCTAGGTAGGGTAGGGGTGCCTTTTTTTTCAACGAATTATGATGTCCGCTCAACACGTTTGTTATTTTTTTTTTTTATCAGCAGCAAAAAGTTTTTTGGCATTTTATTCGTTAAATTTCTACTTGTATACAGATTCGTCCTAAAGGGGGTGTTTGGATTAGAATCCATTGTATTAATCTACAATTTTAAAATAATATTTTTACTTTTAATTACTAATAGATTATATTTTTTTTAAAACAAATAAATATAATAGAATTACTTAAATTATTTAAAAATTATTATTACATATAAGTATGTATATTACCAGCTGCATTTTTTTTTTTTTTTTTTAAATATTATTTAATGAAAATTTTTTGACAATGTCAGCAAAAAATATCTGATTCAGTAAATTTATGCATGTATGCACAAAGGACATGGGTCATTTAATGACCTACATATTTTAGCACTTATTAATTTCCATTTTACTGTAGGTGTTTTATTGGTTTCTTTTAAGTGCCAGAAATATTTTGATAGGGACGTCTGATTTTGGTATCTATTTATCCTAAATGAACTTTGATGTTGATAGAATCTTTTCTTGAACTCATGGCTTGTGCAACCTATATAGACTTTTATGTTGTTGGGATCTTCAATAGATGAAATATTGCATTGGTATACTAATGATTCCGTGCAACATTTATTTTGTAGAGGACAGTTATGAGGATTTCTGCAGTTATATAATTTTTGTTTATCTTCATCTCTTTATTTTTATACTGTACAAATTTCTTTGGTTTTGGTCTAAGTTTTTATTGAAGATATTAGCATTATGTTTCTTAATAATTTTCTCTAAGTTTTCAATACAGCTGTAACTTAATTTTAGTGTATTTTTATTAAAAATAGTACTGAGTTTACTATCTTTAGGAAAATGCTTAACAATTAATGCAAGGAATCTTGTCCTAATTTATTCTTTACCATTTGGTTGTATGGGGGTGTATACCAAATTATTTTTCTGCTTCTGTGTTGTGTTTGAATATTAAGTTTCTTAGTGCTGATTCACATTTTCTTTTTATATCTTCATTGAATATTTTTAGGCTAATAGAATTTGTTGAAATTCTTTTATTTATAGATATGGGTATTTGTTTGAATATGTTCGGGGATGGGGTGATTAGAATTTTTGTTAATGTAATGTGTGTGTATATAAAATGTATGTATTTTAATCAGAGTTAATAACAGAGGTTGATATGCAGAATCAAAGTAGTGAGTACCAAAAAGGTTCGTCTGACCAGTGCAGTAAGTAATTCCTGAAAATGACCCACCCAGAAGAATAAACTAGTTATGTTCAACTCACAGAGAGCCCATGAAGGATGCTATCATCAGATCCGCAACTTAAAATATAAATTTCTGCTTGAAAAGTTTTGATGTCTTAATCATAGAAAAATTTGATATAAACATGAGGGAGAATGGGTAAGAGAAAGAGAAAAGTGTTATGATGCTAATCACCTGCTTGTAGCACAGTGGCTATTACCTTTATAGGACATGTACACCTGAAAGAGTGCCATGTCATTTTCTGATGTCTATAGAAATAATTCCACATTAGATAAGAATATTGATATTAGCACAAAAAAAAAAAAAAAAAGACATTTGCTAATGGTCAACACAGCAATGTCTAGTGTCCACAAAACAGGAGATGAGGAAAAAAAAAAAAAAAAAAAAAACAGATTCTGCCATCAATCAAAACAAAATAAAAAGTAGAGGGAAGAGAAAGGCTGAAAGGGAGGTGAGAGGTGGGGAGCAAAAACAAATTTTAAAAAACAAAACAAACCTTGGCTAAATTAGAAATAATCTCTCTGCCTTCCACTCTGGCATAATAGTCTTCATCAATCAGGAGTGGTTCAATGACGACCAAAATTTTGTGCACATAGGGACGAACTAAATCATCAAGTTTGTACAAGATACGATCTATGACCTTGACAAGTAAGTGCCGTTCTTGGTCTTCAAGCGTCGGAGACATGAGTAATGGCAGAATTTGGTTAAAGAGTGGGCCAGCTCCAAAATCTCGGGCTTTGTCTGTAATTTGTCTGAGAGCAGCCTGAAAAAATAAAACAAACACAATAGCAAAAGAGAAATTTACTTTGGTTGTATAAATGAAATGATTTAATGGAGATGAAGAAGAGAATGAAAAATGTTTTTTGCTCATAAATGGAAAAAAGAGCACCCCCAGAAATGGCTAGATATGAAATTTAGCATTTCTAGTGTAAGAAGTATTCATTTTATGACAATTCAAGCCAGTCTCCTCTTCAGTCTAAAATCGACCTTTCAAATACATTGACAAAGGGTTAAAAAGCAATTTTTTTTTGAATTTTGAAGTGGAATAATCCAGAATATATCCATTCTATCACTACCCCCAAAATTAGGCATGTTACTGGTATAGTCATAATGTGATATTTGAAATTTGGGATGAATGTGGGTCTTATTTTCAGTTTTATGAAATGTCAAACCTCAGGTTATGAGTTGTTTGCACATTGTTGCAGAAGTTTTGATTTATAAAATTTGCATATTCAGACTGAATTTATATTTAAGAAATATGCAGTGATACTATCTATAATTTTATTATTAATTTCTTTGTTATGTACCTAACAAGCTAGTATAATTTTAACTGTTGTTCTTAATTGCTTTTTAAAATATAGGAGTCCAAATATGGTATTTTGTCCTAATTCATAATAGACCAAAAAAAAAAAAAAAAGTCAAGCACATGTGTAAAAATAAAAATAAATCTGCCAAAATTAAACGGTTTGAGATATTTTGATGAAATAAAAACTGCTAAGTTTCTTTAATCATGTAGATTAAAATGATGCAATCAGATAACACCTAGTACCTGTTTGAAATTTTCATCTGTGATATCTACTTTAAGCAACTTGAGGTTGTTAATTTTCAACACAAACAAGATTTGCTAACAATGGGATTCTATCAAAAATGACCATTTATACTCTCTGAGAACAAATGACCATTTATACTCTCTGAGAACAAAATATGAGAACAAATGACCATTTATACTCTCTGAGAACAAATGAATACAAACAAATGACCATTTATACTCTCTGAGAACAAATGACCATTTATACTCTCTGAGAACAAATGACCATTTATACTCTCTGAGAACAAATGACCATTTATACTCTCTGAGAACAAATGACCATTTATACTCTCTGAGAACAACTCTCCAAGTTTTATCTAAACTTTCTGAAACAAATATTAACTTTTCAAATTCATATACCTGTTCATTTCCTATCTATATGCATTTAGTATTTTGTGTCACTATATATGTGTAATTTTTAGTGTGAAAGTTTGGGGGCATTTGTTTAATAAATCACAAAAAACAGACATGATTTAATGTATGTAAATTTGTTATGTTAATTTATTGCTTACTGCTTTCACCAACATCAGAACATAAATAAATATTGATTTGTATTTTTTAATAAAACAAAGCAGAAATTCGCCCATATCTATATCACAATGTGCATTACAAATGGAAAAGATTTCAAAATTTAAAACATTAAAAATTTTTTTAAAACATTTTAGAACTGCCTTTTGATCAAAATTCTTTAAATTCTTTTTTTTATTCCCGGATTTGTGTTGAAAATGTCTGATATTCAGTAAATAAAAAATAAAAATTTAAATAATACCAGTAAAATAAAATGGAGATGTGGCGGTAAACTTACCTTTCTCATTGGTGGAGTGCCATTTTTAATCTTCAATAGCAATTTCATTATTTTTCGTTCCTTTTGTTCTTTGGGAGTCAGAGATTCTTCATCCACATCAACCTATAAATAACATCATAAGAAGCCATGAGGAAATTCTGAACAACACAGAGAGAAACTCTCTACAATCTTCAGTCTTTCTTTTTTTTTTAAATTTCTTTCTGAACACAATAAATATTTGTCCACGTTGCTTATATATAAGTTATGTGGACTTAGGTATCAATACTGAATGATGACAGTCCATTTCATGCTTAGACACATTTGTCAAGTTTGAACAATTGCATTTAAGCATGAAATTGACTTTAAATATCCAATGTTGATACCGCGTTCATTATATTTACATTGTCCTGGTATTGAATGTTATTCTCCTATAAATATAGCCTACCTTAAAAACTCAAATACGTATCACACGTTTTAATCACTCATTCTTCTCAACCTTACCTCTATCATTCTTCTGTCATTTATACTAAATAGTTCTTTCAATAATTATTCTAATGATTAATTTTCTTCTATCACATGTCCATATTACCATCCATTAGTTTGGTAACTTTTCTTTTTTTTTTACTCTGGACGCAATTACAAGAGGTACTTGAAATTTTTGCAACTACCAGAGTAATTTAGATCGCAAGTGTTATTGGGCATCCTTTATTTTAGAAAAAATCTTTGACTATTTTACTTTCAGTTCACCTGAGCAATGACTTCTGACTAAGTGCTGTGGCTAAGTATAAACACGAACTTAGATTCAATGCAAAGTTGAACTAATAAAAAAAACTACAATCTGTAATGATAAAACACTTGGTCAGAATTAGTTCAGTTTATACAGAAAAATTTTAAAATCAAACATCAAGGCATATCAAGCAGTGTAAGAAATGTTAATGAAGCACAACATTAAAATCAATAAGTCTTTTTGTAACTTAATAAATTACAGCATTGAAAGTATTGTCGAAATTATTATAATTATTTTCCACTGTCTTGTTAAACTGTGCATCTATTATTGCTACAAATCATCTTGCAAATGTCAAGTATTTCTCATTCCTTACCAAAAGTTTATCAAAGTACTGCATATCATCTGGTTTCATCATCGGTAGATTGCCCTTAGGCTGCATGTCAACAATCTGTACTTTGTTGTCTGGAGTCTGCATTCGGAATCCCATGGGGGTGCCAGCCATTGGGGTGGGAGTTGCTGTCAATTTACGTGCTGGTGTACGGATAGGCACATAACCAGCTGGAGGTTGAAGGATCTGAGAAGAAAAAATGAAAATGAAAATCAAGAAAAAAAATTAATGTCACTTTAATGGCAATTTGTTCCGACATTTCTTATGATCCAAATTCCATCAGACATGGCTTCAATATTTATGCAACATTTCTTTCATTCTTTATTGAAGATAAATTTGGAAAACAATCAACAATCATCATTTGAATATATTTCTTTAGCATCATTTTTTAAAAGACAACTTCCAATCGTGTTCTCTTGCCTTCTTGTCAGATTTGATAAACAATTTAGATGAACAGTCCCTTGATATTGATCTCTGGGAATCAAAGGGACTATCGAGGAGGTCAATAAATGCAGGTGGAGGGGACACTAAGCAAATAATGGTGACTTAAGACTAAAACTCCCCAAATTTCCAACCAAATATCAATGTCCTAGCTCATCAAACATATCCTTCCCTATAAATGATGTCAACCAATTTAATAAAAGGTTATATTAATTTATTTTTAATACATTTATTCTATATATTAGTTATGAAATTCAAACATGTCTAGTAGAGGAAGAGAAAAGTAAAAAAAATAATAATTGCTATTTTTTTTTTTTCTAAATGCTTAGGGGTTGATGAGGGAACATCTATCTACAGGTCAATGGTTAAAAAGTTTTGTGACCTCTGCTTTAAACAGATATATTCCCTTTGATGTTTTCATTAGTACATTTCAGCCAATGAATTCTCCAAAACTGCTCACATTTAAGACACATCAGATAAGCTTCCAGTTTATTTTCTTTTTAACTTTCACCTTATCCAACAATAAAAAATTATTTGGCACTATAGACCCCAACCCCTGGTTTTCAAGTTTTAACTCCAATCTATTTTTAGACATTTAGTTCTAGTCTTTTGCAAAAACTTGATTTGGAGTAAATGGTTTAGGTTTTTTTTTTCCTAAGGTAACTCAAAGTGCGACATGAAAATACTCAAAAAACAACATGAGAGAAACAAGCAGCATAATAGAGGAAATTGTCGTTCAGGAATAAATGGAAGAAAATGATAAAAAAGATAACCCAAATGAATACAAAGCACAAAATCTGAACTCAACCCAACATTTCTTAATATTAAATCCATCTGCCATCATAAATGAATTCTTGTAAATTTATCCCTCATGTCTTGTTGCTATAGTGATTGTCTTTTTTTCTTTTTTTTTTTTTTTTAAATAATACTTTGTTCAAGCATCACAAATTTTCTCAATATCTATCAATAGAAAATAACATTACTATTTGTAATTGAAAGATTTCTGGCCTTGATGGCTAAGCTCAGTAACAATTCAGATGTTCACCTTTTTGGTCACAATTAATCATCTTTACATGAAAATGAAAACAAGCATTTGTCTCAAGAGAGTTGCGCCTCTTGTAAGAATTTCTGCTGTCTTGGTAATCTTTACATATTGACAAGCCTTTTAACTTCTTTGAAAGGAACAAAGAACATGATGGGCATTAATATCTTGAAAATACACAAAGATTAAACTAGTTACATTTTACAGTTTGTGTTGGTACCTTGTCTTGAACTAAATGTAAGTGTAATTGTAAAAACAAAAATTAATTAGGACATGAAATAAATAGTATTTTATTATTTATATCTACAAGCATTATGACATATATCCAGCCACCTGAGTGGTTCTTGCTTCAGAAGGGATAGCTAATTTGTTTATTCTGCTTTAAAATTAAATCTAAAAAAAAAAATTAAATTTATTCTTTTCCAATCTGGTCTTTGAGGAAAGTGATGATTGAATAGTTACACGGCCCACTAATATATACAGCCCCACATGTCTCATGTTAGGCTAATTTCTAACAGGCCCATTTGGTTTATATTCAATTTATGTCTGTTTTATATAAAACATGTAAAAACCATCAAAAAATACACAAGTTGTTTTTTTTCTCTTTTCAAACAGAAAAGTAATAATAAAAGTTTATAAAACAAAAAGTTATTAAAAAATGAAACAGTAATACAAAACAAATACAAGGAAAAAAAAATACTTACCAACAGTTTCTCTATAAATCAATTTTCTTTTGACCTTTGCCATTTTTTTTAAAAAAAAAAAAAATTCTACAATATTTTTTTTTAAACTTTGTTTGTTGTAAAATATATTCACAAACTTTGATGCAAAGTGAATTCTTTTTCAGTGTGTTTTCACAAGTAAAAATATATTTTGGAGAATAAGTTTCCCAAATTCTTTTAATAGACTCTCTTGTAGTGGATTCATTATCTTTTACAATAAATTTTTATCTGCAGAGTCAAGTATAGCATAACAAGCAAAAACGAACTCTGCCATTTGGCTAGATGGAACCGTAAGACCTTCTTGAGAAAGTCAGTCAAAGTACTGCTTCTCTATAGCATCATCACTATCACTGCCTACCATGACCAGGGAACACATTTCACATTGAAAACATTTAATTTTTTAAAAATTTTCTCTAATAAAGAAGATGGTAATGGAAATTTCTCCAGAAGCAATTTGTATGCTTATTGAGACAAATAGCACAGTACTAAGGCATAACGTATTAGTTCTGCAGAAAAAGAAAACATTCTTGGTTGGTAGTGTCTTTCTGTAATTTTTTTTAGAATTGACTATGGCTGTTCTTCCACCATATTTTGTATGTAGCTTGGAAAATTTTCTGACATGCTAAATCTTGTGAGTTTACTATTATGTCCATGTATAAGCCACCGTGGTAACAGCATAGGGGGTTCCCATTGCACTGGAGCTGGACACAAAGGTTTTTGCGAATACATTCTTTTATCGATGAAAAATGTGTTTCAAGCTCAAAGACTATTCTATAAATTAAAATATAATAATCTTTTTTTTAAAAATTCAAAACTGTTAAGATAACACTTTGCTTCTTCCAATTGTGTAAAATCCTTTATCGTATCAACTGAAATAAAATCATGTAATTCATCAGTTTGGACCAGTCTTTGTTTTGGAAGCTTTCTGAATTCTCTTGTATTTGGCAAAAGACAGTTTTCTTTTTTTTTTATGAATGCATTGTAGGTACTGGATGTAAATCCCAATTAAGTTTGTTTAATTTTCCTTTCAAAATAAATTTCTCTTCAAAATGTTTCACACAAGGAACTGAATTTTTCGTAGGAATCGCAACCAATAGAATTAACGAATTCTATCCATTTTTCTATGAGTTCAGATTTTCCAAGAGGAAAAGAAAATGTCAATACTTTTCACTGTGAGTAACATATCCACAAGATAATGAAACACATTTGTTAACCATATTTTTAAACAAAATATCTCAAACTTTATAATTTAATCTCTAAATGCAATGGACTAGAAAATTAATAGTATTCATTTGCAAAACTGGCCGTATATGCAATTGAAAATCATAAAAGGGGGATAACTCACAGCCCTTTATATTTTGTGGATTAGTGAGAAAAAAAAGAGGTGTAAATATGCATTTTAGCATTGAAAACATGTCTAGGGAATTGAAATAATGTCTGATAAATTCTATGTAAGTGTATGTTGTTAATTTACATTCTAAGAATTCAATTTTTACAGTTACCTCCCTTTTAGATTAGCAATTTTCTAAGCAGCCATTCACATTTTTTCTGTTTACATTACATTGGCCTGTTAGAATTCAGATTGTTAATTGACAATAATATTAGTTGGCTATGGTAGTTATTCAAATAAAGACACTTTTCTGTCCTCCTGAAGGTGGCAATAACCTTAGCATTTATATAGGAGTAAAGGGAAGTAAGCAATTTTAAAATTATTTTTAATAGTATATTTTAGTATAATAGTATATATTCAACAAACCTAACGTTTTTAAAAACTATTATTATTAGCCTTTAACAAAATAAGATATTTTAACTTTTCTGTTCCTTTTTAGCCATAGCTACAATTAATTGTACAATTCATCACGCCATAAGAAATGCCACGTACAAGAGATTGCAGAGGAGTTCTTTACCTAACATAATTGGGAAAATTTGGCCAAATAACATCAAAATTTGTGGAGAATCATCTTAGTGTCTGCACTTGGAAATCTGTTGAAAGCATAACGAAACTTGTCCTTACTTGAAGCAAATACGTTTTGAATTTAAAAAACAATTTCTATAGCAACTTAATTCAATATCACAAGCTGCAATGTTCCCTCCCTCCTGGTTATTTACAAACATACAAAAGCAGACTTATAAGCAGATTAGTGTCTTTTATATAATTTTTTTTTTTTTTATTCCTAATCTAAATAATAAGAACAATGTGAAGAGAAATGCATACCTTGTAGCCCACGGGAAACATGGCATCTAATTCCTCATCAGAGAGTGGTCTGTTACGTTCATCAAGCTCTCGCTGCCAGGTGTAGGCCTGTAACTGTTCTGGGGTCATTGACATGAGATGTCCTGGTGTTGGGGTAGCCATTGCCATAGCTTTTTGACCAGTCGGTGTTGTGCCACCAGGTGTCATACCACCTGGAGTCATGTTTGGAGTCATGCCACTTGGGGTCATACCTGTTGGGGTCATACCAGTAGGTGTCATTCCACCGGGAGTGGTTCCTCCTGGGGTCATGTTGGGGGTCATGCTACTGGGTGTCATTCCTCCAGGTGTGGCTGCAGCAGGGGTTTCATCCCATCTTGACCGACGTTTACTGGCACCAGGGGTTGGAGTATCCTGAATAAGATCACCCCCTCTATCAGTTCTGGGGGTTTCAGCCCAACCACTTCCATGGCCAGGAGTTTCTGCAAGAAAAAAAACAACAAAATGTTATAAATACACAAAATAAGCAAAAACATTTTGACAATTAGTCATAAGATTCAAAATTAAAACTTATTCCGATTTGGGATTCATGGATTGATCGTTTTTTTTGACAGCTTAACAACCCTTTGTCGGTTATTTAAAGCCAAAACATTTTTGATTGTAAAAAGAAAACCCCCTCCCCTGAGCAAAGATTTCATTAACAATTTTTGGGAGACAATGATTTTTCTAAATACAAATACTAATTAACCCATAAATGGGGGAGAAGAGATGGATTCACACCTTTTCCCAAGTGTATTTATATACAAGTGAATGTAACGAACTCTGCTCTCCCATTTATCATTCCAAACTGCTATTCATGGAGCATTTTTTCCTAAATTGATCCTATTTGACTGTATAATACAATACAAATACTAAATGAAGGCAATTGATATTAAATAATTTTTTTTTTTTCCCTCCTTTATAAAATTTTTCAATGATGCTGTTAACTTTGTAATTCTAATAATTATTGATTTGGCAAAAATTTGGATTATGTTTTGGGGGATAATTGTGCTCTTTCCATTGCTTTGGGTGTTTGTGAGAAGAAGCTAGAAGCATATTGACAAAAACGTCTTGTCATCTTCAAGTGAGGGACACAAAAGATTAAAAGATTATCATCAAATAAAACTCTATAAAACCTTCACTGAATAAACTCTTAATATTTTTACCATTGAAAATCACCTTTGAGTTTTTGCATTGCAGTCTAACAAAGCACCAATCTTGTACTAATTTTTAAGGAAACTCAGAAATCGTATATTATGCAATTTCTACTTCTAGAAGTTAATTGCATTTTTCATGGCAGGTGGTTACAAATCATTACTACTGACTGTTGCTAACCAAAAAGAAATATATTACCTCTTTCTGTTTTGGGGGTCTCATCCCATCTATTCCTTCGTGCACTGGAGGTGGCTTGGTGTCCTGGGGTATCCCTACCTGGAGTAGCAGCTCCAGGTGTTGCATGACCAGGAGTAGCCTCCCAAGCACGAGTACTTGCACCTGGCGTAGCACCAGGAGTTTCTCCACCTTTCGACCGTCCTGGGGTCTCATCCCAGCGGGTGTTTGATGGGGTGGTGGCTGTCGCTTCGGCTGCATCCCAGCTGGAACTGGCAACTTTCTTTGCAGGTGTGGTATCTTCTGCGGCTTGGTCCCATCTGCGTCTCTTCACGGGCTGTTTCTGGGCTGCAACGGCTGCGGCAACAGAAGAAGCAGATGCAGCAGATGACATAGAATCATTGGCAGATCCATTCAAGGCATACAAGTCTCCAGATTTTGCTTTCTCAGCCAACTGCTGTCGTAGGGCTGCCTACACAAAACACAAGGGGTAAAAACAGTTAAAAATACAAACAGTGTCTTGAAGAATCATTAAAAACAAATTTAAATTTCAGGAAGACAAAATGTTAGCAAACATGTGCCTTGATTTTCCAAATAGATTTGTGGTATGAAAGTTTTTTGCTGACATTTGTGAGCATGCATTCAATGCAAAAACTATTCTATTTGCACTATTATCCTGGTCTTTGTTGTGACAAAATTTCAACCCTTGTTCTGACCAGACTTCATCAGGTGTATGTCAATCTGAATAACCTACAGGAAATTTGGTAACAATTGTGAGTTCAATCTCTGGCCCAGGCAATGTGTATTTGGACACAGTGGAAACAGGGTGAGCAATAACTGAGCAGAACTAAAACTAGATATCCCTAGATATGGGCAGTAGAATGAGAACAGCCTAGCCCCATACATCAAATAAAGGATTCAGTTCTAAATTACTTGTAGGTTACCCAAATAGTCATATACCTAATGAAGGCCAGAGTGGACAACGTCTGAAACATTTTGATCACAACAAAGATGAGGACAATAGTTTGCATATAAATACTGTAAATAATGATAATTCCTTTTCAACTATGTATATTTGACTGACAGAAATATTATACTTCAACTCTAACCTCCAAACAAATGAAAGCTTCTAATTACAAGTTTATTTATTATTTCACAATTGAAAACAGCCTGAAAAGGATTATTAGTGTTGCACATTGGAACATCCCTAGTATTCAAAGCTTGAATTAGTAGTCTCATGTACAGAAGACCAGGGAAATCAAATAGGACAATAGTCAATGCACACATTTCAATTTTAAACATACACTCTTTTGTACACACTGATGGGATCAATGTAATGAAATTTTTAACTTCAAAACAAGAAAACTTTCCTTATTTATTAGATAAATTTATTTTATATTATTTTTCATTTTAACTCTTTCCTGTTTAGAAGAAAGTTACTTCATGATGCATTTTAACCTTTTCTCTTTATATAGTCAGCATTTGTATACTAGAGACTTTCTGGCTGTTCTTCAGAAAACAGCCAAAATTAAAAATTAAATATGTTAATATTAATGTAAGTCAGAAAAGAAAAAAAAAATCAAATTTGACATTTTACCTGTTGGTGGGTGAGACGTTGTTCCACCATAACATCCGAGAAGGTCCGTTTCTTTAATTTTGGATCTGGAGTTTTGCCACCTGTAAAAGAAAGCAAACAAGGTCACGACAAGATGCCGTGACAAATAAATTCCTATGTAAGGAAATATACAAAGACCTGCATCGCAGTTATTATTATTATTATCAGAAAGGGCCGCACCTCCAGAGGCAATACACCATCAAGCAACAATCACATTTCCATTCATTCCAATTGGACAAAATGCTGTTTGTAGTGGAAAAACCATCCCACCCCACCCTTCAAGTATTTTGTACAGAAAAAAAAAAGTGTTGGGAGTACAAGCAGTGGTGGGGTAAAGTGGAGAGAACAAAATTTGACAAATAAATAAAGAACATCAGCTAATTTTAAACTGGAAATTTTCTAAAACTGAAAGGAATCCTAAATAAATCAAGGTTTTTATCCTAAAATTGTTCTATTGCTGCTAATCAACATTTATGGCTGGCATCAATAAAACCAAAGAGTTAAAGTTCTTTTTTGTGGGGCAGTTTCTATATATATATATATATATATATATATAAAACAAACTACAAACTTATTTAAACGAGATTCAGCAAACCAAAGGCATCATTTGGCAATTACTTTTTTTATTCATCAAATGTTAAGAGATGAGAATAAAGCAATGAAGTTTCAAATGAATATTATTATGACACTTTGAGAAAATAATGCTTTTTAAAATCAGTATTGGTTTAAAAAGTGTAATGGAAAAAAAATATTTTTCTGAAATTCCTGATTTAAAAGACGTTACATCTGAATTTTAAATTTTCCTGGAAGAAATGTGCACACAAGCAAGAGAGGGAGAAGTGCTGAAAAGTCTTTGACCTGACCAAGAAGGGATAAAAAATACTGACCTTCTCTCTGCACGTTTGTGTGAAAATAAGTTAAAGCAGAGAGTTTCCATTTTAAAAGAGGAATTTATTTATTTTTTTTTTTTATTTCTTTTGAAAACTATAAATGTTTCATGTGTTCTTGTGATCTGGGACAGCATTCTGTATACACCTGAGCAAGTCTGATTAAGATAAGTTTAACCATTACAGATGAGAGTGATGATCCACAAGAAAATTAAAGGTGATGAGTTTGGTACAAATAATAATCATAACTATAATAATGGAAAGATATTCCCAAAGAGGAGAGAAATGAGTAAATCAGAGATCTAAAAAAAAACAAAGAAGAGATCTATACAATCATTATGTATTCCTAAGAGTTTTCTGTCACAAACACACCAAAGTCCTGATAGAATTTGAAAATAACCAACAGGATGGTAGGTCAGATTGCTTTATCAAAGTAATCAAAGCAATTATGACAAGGCAAATTGCATAATTCAACACTAAATATAAACAATTTTCCCCCCCCCCTATCACCCCAAATGAAATGACAGTGGAAATACTCTCATATTAAGTCTTCTGTTGTTGATGTTGTAAGTCTTGTAAAGATGATGCCAATTTTTAATAAGAAAAATGAAGGGGCAGGGGACTATAAATGACAAGTGACAAACCAATTTGTTTAAAAAAAAAATCCTGGCTCAAATATGCTGTTGATATCTGTGTGAATTGACTTCTTAATACCCACTGCACCCCACCTCACATTGAGATCAAAGTCAAGCCTAAAGTAGAATCTAAACCTAATACTCTTGCTCCACATATGCCAATATTTATAGTAAATCAAGATCTTTTCCAATACAAACAGAAAATAACTTTTTGCTATTTCACAACTGAAATGAATGTTTTGTGATCAAAAAAACGAAATGATGACTACCCAACCTGGAAGTATAGGAAAGATGATAAGCAAGCATTTCTCTTTCTTTCTTTCTTTTGCATCTTTTTAAAATCAAAGCCTTGTTGTATTCTCTTTACTATTCAATAGAACGTAATCTCGTCAGGCAATTACAGTAAAAGGTTACAGAGAACAAAATGCTTGCTCATTTGGTCACAGCATGGTAAAGTAAGGTACGATATCATCCTTTGCTATCATACGTACGGTGTAGCCTGGGGTGACTATAGCCATCTTCTGTCCTTCTCTGCTCTCATAAACACCAGCCCTAAAATTAGTCTCAGATTAGTGTAGTGCTAAAACAAGAGGAAGAAAAAATACAAGCAAGAAAAAAAATAAAAATAAAAAAAAAAAAAAAAAAATGGTCGCAGAAACACTTTTGGCAAACATTGAGAAAAAAAAAATATGATAAAACAAAATTGTAGGTAATAGAAATTAGGAACACAGCCATGGGAAAAAAAAAAAAAAAAAAAAAAAAAGATTCCACTTTTTAGTTTGACTGGTTTAGAAATTTGTTTTTTCCCAAAGAAATTTAAAAAAAAAAAAAAAAAAAAATTTTTTTTTAAAAATATCTTTCTTTCCACTTAGTTTCCAAACATATTTTGAATTAAGATCTTAATTTTTTGATTCTAGTACACAAACTCACAAATAGTACAGTTGGCATTCACATTAATTCATCATACTACATAATAGAAAGAGAGTCAAATTGAGAGTAGTCTTATCAGACTTATTTTAAAATCAGTATTAATCATAAGCAATAATAACAGTAAAACTAATTTACCCATAATTCTAAGTTCTCTTCATTTTCAATCTCCATTTCTAATTCAAGTGTCTGTACTAAACATAAATACAAAGGAGTTGTTCTCTATGAAAATTGCATTGTATTTAAAAAGCCAACTCTTTTTAGAATCTTCTGCTTTGACAAATAATAAAACAGTGTCTACACAAAATTCAGAATTAGGATCTGCAAAAAGATCCTGGCAAGAGTTAACTTTTTTAATAGTAAATAGAGAAATAAAATGTAAACTCCTTGCCCAAGATTTATTACAGTAAATTCATTAAACAGTTACATCCATATCCTGTCAGATTTTATTATGCAAGCCAACATTTTCACAATAAAACTGCTATTAATCAAACAATATTGATTAAATTTTCAGAATATAGTTTTATATTAATATCAGCAATAAATCTTCTGAGTAACACCCAAGAATATTTATCCATTTTTTAAAATATTGAAAAAAAAAAACTTGTTTTGAGAGTTTTGTATTTTTTATACAAAGTGCAACATAAATTTTTGTAAATAAATTCAAAAGATATAGCTTAAAAAATTATTTAAATTAACACATTATCCCATATAGCAGTATATTTTTTTTATTTTATTGTTTTACATAATATTTACTCCTTGATATTACATAATACTTATCAGACTGTCACCAGTGATTATCAAACTTTTCTACTGGCCAAAAAACATTACACCTGCTATGTATGTTGATTATTTTCATGAAAGATTCAACCTGTAGCCAAAACATCAGGCACATCTTACATAGCTCTACATTTATCATGAAAAATGAAAGTTGAGAAATCAATTTTCATGTACTACATCACCCAACTTAAATGCTTCTCTTTAAAGATGGTAGTTTATTTGCTTTCATGTCTTTGATGAACTTAATTATTCTGCATCTTTTCTTTGTTTACCTTCACAACAGGTTCTCCAAATATTTTCTTGCTAGTCAATACACTTTTCTTGCTTTTTACTACCCATTTAATTTTTGTAAAAATCTTTCTGACCTCCTTAAAACCATTTTTACTGTTTTTATCATTCTTTGATCAACATTCTTGTAATTTTCAATGTCTCTTTCTTACAAATCATGGTCATTTTTATGTATTGAAATTCATAATATCAATAACTATATTTAGTTATTTATTTACAATATAAGTGAAAAACCCTAACAATGCATAAGAAAATTTTCCATCCTCAAACAAGTTATTGCAAATATTTTAATAAAAGGATTATAAGCTGAAATTCACAGGATATATTTATCATGTAAGCATATATACAAACATATCCTGAACATTTTACCATGGTTGTTTAATAACCAATTTTACTGTAAAAACATTAACCTACTTTTTCAGAAAAATTTAACAATAGTAATTGCCATTTGTTGAGTACAATACAAATAACTGTCAGAGTAGTTGAACAATGAAAAGATCTCAAATTCTAAGGACAAAAAATTAAGTCTCCGATTCAATCTGCAATAATTGAAGAATAGATAGAGAAATTTTAATCTAAATTGAGTAAATTTAATTTATGCTATAAACCGATTCTCCAGCCCCATGAATAAAATAGCTTTGAAAACCTCTTTATCATGTAGCAGATGAATTTATCAGATTACCAATATGACTGATGTTATGAAGTTATGCAAACTATGGCCAAAATGTTTTATGTGGCTCCAGATTAAAAGATATCAAAATTTACATCTAAACGTAAACAAGTTTATGCAACTATTTTTCTTCGCCTTTCATGAATCTAAACTTGTTTTGAAGTCATATCATTAACAGCAATAACAAGGTGGAAACAAGGGCACCGAGGTGTAAGCACCTCACGAGAGATGTCGATCTGTCGCCAACGTCACCAAGGCATTCCAGAAGCTAGAAAGGAAAGATACATTCAATTAGTACCTGGCTTTTCAAAGTGGGTTTTTTTTTTAATGTTGTATTTTTTAAATATAGATATATATTTTTTTTTCTTTTGGTATAAGCTATCGACACATCAGTGCCACAACACTGAAGGAGGAGGAGGAGGAGTGGTAATGATAGTAGTGAAATCATGCAGTCTGTAAGGGCAACTAATAGCATGAAACACAGTGAACAGAGAAGGTGTAACAATATGAACATGAATGTGTGTGCTTCTGACATATGCATGGGTCAGGTATGCCAGGCATCAATTCTTTTTGTGAGGTAATGGCCACCCTTGTGAAGACAAGGATGGATATAGGATACATTGAATTTACTGCAACCATGACTGACCTACTGATGCCCCTTTAAAAGACCTGATTCCTTTTTCCCCCACATTAACCTAAAATGGGGTTGAAGCATTCAACATAAAACCTCAAAAGATTAAGATTGGGTTTCTTTTTTCAAAGAAAGAGAGAGAAAGAGAGAGAGAAAGAGGAATGTAAAATAATTTTCCTGTAAATCCACTAAATCTTTTTTTGTCAGATGGAAGAAATATAAAGGATCTTTAAATTTTAAGAGAATGTTACATGGAGACAAAAGTGCTTCTATTTTTAACTGCTTTAATAATCTTTGCTGCAGCTCAAGAGTCGACATTTTCACCAACAAGAACATTTTCTGAGAAGAAAAATAGAAGAAATCCAGATCATGAACAAATTTTCTATCCTTTGATGCCTCATTTTTATGATCTACAAAAACACAATCATATATATATATATATATATATATATATATATATATATATATATATATATATATATAAAAAATAAAAAGATAGATATGTGGTAAAAAAAAAGAAGAAAAAAAAGGGAAAACTATGCTTCCAGGATTTATTTTTAATGCTTTTTGTGGCTTTTATTTCGGTTTCATAATTTTATTCAACATTGTTTCTGATCTGATTTTTCTCTTAAAATATTCTAACATTGATAAAACCCATCCTGTTAATCAATGAGAGACATTTGATTTGATTTTTATATTCATCAAGAGAAATCCTCAAGTGTAAAGAGGAATGACCCATCAGTGAGACAAACTATGTTCCTCAACACCCTACTGGAAATTCAGCTTAGTTCATTGGTGAGGAAATAAAAAAACAAATTAAAAAAAAAGAAAAAATGATATCTAACTCCAGCAATCAGTTCCTAAGATTATTTTATAGTGATTTATTAAAGGTTTAGGCAGTGTATGCATTTTGTATACAGATTAAATTAGAATACAAAATGGTTCAACCCCTGTACTATTGCAGAAGTCATGTAAGTTTATAAATGTGAATACTCTGTTGTAGGGCAATGGTTAACAATTGAATCTTACAGATCAATATAACGATCTGTAATGTACCACATATTTGTAGCCTTGTGCCAAACTAGAGCAAGTTTAAAAAGTAAAGAAGTTGCTAAAAAAGAAAAAAAAAAAAAAAAAATTATAAGCAACATTATATGCTACAGCCAACACAGTAAATGATGCCGATGAACAGCTATCTAAATTCAGTGCAAATGACAATTCAAGTTCGGAATATTGTAACTAAGTATTTAAACCCACAAACAATACTATTCAAATGCAGACCCCAAGTAGAGTTGATGGCTGTACTGGTCGGGCATTTTGATCACCAGACAATTATCAAAGAATGGATGATCAAAAACGAGGTGAAAAAGTTGCCAATTTTGTTAATGTTTAATCAATAGGTCTTCATGAAAATCAGTTTGACTTCATAAACAAGTGCCATGAAATGGACCAAGTTTGGAACAAAGACTAACTTAGTACAAACAAGAATTGAACCAGTTACTTCTGAGTTCAGTATCCTGATGGCAGCATAAGAACAGACAGTGTGAAAAGAATTTACCTTCAAACAATTCAGATGTCACAATCAGTTAACCTATTCAAGAAGTCAACATATAAAAAACAAATTGAAATAATTAAGAATAATCTATTATCTTAAAATACACATAATAATTTGAAACATACTTAACTAATTGTTGTAAATGATATCAAAATTTAAGTAGATTACTAGATTCTCTCTTAAGCACTTAGATACAATTTAGGGGGAGGATTTACTTTGTACTGCTCATGTACTAAACAAGGGTCTTTATCTTTAATCATTAAAAACTGTGACACATTAAATTTAGATGGACAAGAAACACCTCATATATGTGTGTGTATATATATGTATATATATAATTTTTTTGAGAGCGAGAGAAAATTTAAGTGTTTATTTAAATTTGACAGAGTTTTAATTAAAAATAAATCAATTTCCCTATCAATTATAAAATCAAGAACTGCAACAAAGAATATAAAGAAGAATTATTCTGCTGCTGAAGAATGGCAAAAGACAATTTTTCAGAAATGTTAGCATCAGTGATTTTGATTTGTTCATTAAAAGAAAGAAAAAAAAATTCTGTATTTTTTCTTTTCCATAATATAGGAAAATGCAAATTAATAATAACTTTATGAATAAGAAATCTTCCAGACATTGTGTGTGAAGTTATTTAGATTATAAAATTACAGGTTGTTTTTTGGTCCATAAATTTTGTTAATGAAGTATTAATCTAAAGCATAAATGAGAAATAAAAAAACTCATTCTTATGGTCCTTCTAACTTACTAGAAAGTGATTAATATTAAAAAGGTTATATCTGGAAATAAAAGATCAAAAAATCAAATAAAAACATTTTGACAGCAAAATTAAACTTAAGTGGCTGGACATGATTTAGTAAATCATTTTGCAGATCCAAGGTTGCATCAGATATGTACTTTCAAAATACAAACTGTGAACCTTTGTTGGCTGAAAAGAATCTACTGAAAATGAACAGGATTTTCTGACACAGTAAAAACTACAAGAACTGTCCCCCACTTTAGGCCAACAAAATTGCAATGACCTTTCCTCTTTTTCAATTTAAGAGGAAAGAAAAAGAAAAAAGTTACACAGTAAATTTTAATTACAACAGGTAAGTTTAGTTTGGAAGGAAGATATTCTGGAAATTAATAAAAATACTGTAACTGAGAACAAAAATGCTCTATATTTAATAAGAGAAAAATTCTGCTCTAAAGAAACAATATCAAACAGAACTGGTTGAATAGCCTGTACTCTAAATGAAACAACACCAAACCAAGTGGCATCTAGTAGAAGCCTTTTCACCCCGACCAAAGTAAATACTGTTCTTATCAACTAATAGCTATCAGTTTCTGCAACAACATTTTACCATCAACATAAAAGCCCCGAGGAAAAAAAAAAAAAAAAAAAAAAAAACAAAAAAAGAAATTTGTACAAAATGGCTTCCAATTTCATTATTATAAGAGTATATGAAATTGAGACAAGATGTTTTTTTTATTGATAAATTATGATAAGTTTCTACGGCCATAATTTCTAAAGTTGCAAACAAGACAAAAACATACACATTAGGTGAAAACAATGTTGCCGATGTTTTTGTGTTTGTTTTAAATCTTGTTTATTTGAGAATTAGCTATAATTCTGAAAAGCATGCTATACTTTCAAACATTTCTAAAGATCTTTCATAATGCAGCAACACTGAATTTACTTAATGTGTATGTACAAGTTTCATTTTACATCAATTTGATGGATTTAGTGTGATATCAATCTATCAAAGATTATTTAATGTCAAAAACACTTGGCAACTAAGTTTATTTTACATTGAGTTTTCACTTTTAAATCTTCAATAATCTTTCAGTAATAATGAAATTTAAACTTCATAAATACATGTATATCTAAATGTTATGTATAGTGATCAAAAACTAATATGAAAATATACTATGTATACTAAGAACACAATGTCTGGAAGGAAGGATTGTTTTAATAAGAGGAAAATTCAAAGAAAAAAAAAAAAAAAAAAAAAAATTTTTAAGAAATCAAAGCAGGAAGAGATGGGGATATAAAAGAGTTATAATAATAACCCCCACTTTATTTTTAAATTCATTTGTGTGCAGACATGTGCATTGCTGGAAGTGTAAAATTTTCATGAAAGTATGTTACGGCTACTAGAAGCAATACTTTCTCTTCTGAAACTCATGGAATATCCCAGATAATATAAGTATATTGTCTGGCAGGTTGAGTATACTGATGAGACAATCCACTAGGAGAAAGACTACAAACAGCTAATGTAAAAGGATTGGCGGGGGGACTTTAGAGTCATTGATTATAACTGTAGTTCAGAAGCCATCTTGTGGCGACTGCCATCTTTGCACGAATAGCAGCCATATTGCTATGGAAGCCATCTTTGTATAAATAGCAACCATTTACAAATTTCTAAAAAGAGAATGCGGTTTTGTTGAAAGAACTTTACTCTTAATACAATAACTACTTAATAGGACAACCACTTTTGGCATTGAGGGCATAACACTAATTATTCCACTGTTAATTGGTAGTCCACTAAATAACTGAATGAGCTCAAATACATCATCATCAGGCGATGATGAGATTCAAACTAGTAGGCAAAGCCTAAACACAACTTATACATTAATGGATGAAGTTGTGGGACAGTAACGTGGACATAGATGTAAGCAAAGCTTGTTTTTTCTTCTCACAAAGGTTTTGGCAAAAAGAAAAGAAAAAAAAATTTTTTTGAAGTGGGGGATGCAAACACCCTTTTTTTTCTGATGATGACAACCTCCACAAGAACATTCATTTATTAATTTCAGGAAAATAAATTCATAATACCAATAACAACAATTATTATAATAATAATTTTGAAGAAAATGGCAAGCAGACTTCACTAACCTTCAGCAAATGGATCATATCGTTCAGGTGAGATGATCATCTGTCGACGTATTGCTCGATATTCATCTTCTCTGTCTGCAATCCTTGCTGGTCGATTATCCAGTGGGTCATAGTTCTAGGAAAAAAAAAAAAGTCATTACACATTACAAGGAGGAGCATAGTTGACCCCCCCACCATTTCTATAACATCATTTTAAAATTGACATTTTCAACCTGCATACACAGAAAAATTTAATTGAAATACATTGACAAAAGACTTGTTAAATTGACATAAATGCAAGAATTTCACATACAAAACTATTTGAAGCCCAATTTCCTTTCTGTTAACTTTTTTCTATTTTTAGCATCTTTATTAAATTCAATATTTGTTGTTAAAATGCTGTCCTTATCAAGGGCAGTTTTGTGAGAGAATTTTATTTCTAAAATTGATAAAGAGAAAAACTATACACTTTAATAAACAGTATCTTTAAAACTTACCAATTGCTACTTTCTACAGGAGGCTGCAAAAGTAGGTACACAGTAAGTATACCATACCATTATTAGCAGTATTATACTAGTGGTTCTAGTATTTACTTAATATTAGAATTCATTAAAATCATTTTTAATATTTTATAATACATTTACTATAATTTTTATTTCTTAATAAATAAATGTTTTGCAGATAAAGTGGTAATTTAACAGATGAGAAGCACAAATGGATTTTGAAACAGTACTGGAAGACATTATTACTATGTTTGTATAATACAATATGTTTTGTGCACATATTTTGTCTTTCATTACTGAATACCTGCTTTTGTATCTCCCTGTATATAATAAAGCAATAAATAAAACCTGCCAGAAAAACTAAATAAGGGTCATATATAATCATTTAAAAGAAGAAAGACAAAGGCTTCTCTTACCTTATCATTGATGGTGTCATTCAGTAAATTTAATGGTGCAGTATATGTGGATTTCTTTGAGTATGGTGGATCCTCTTCATCATCCTGAGAGAGAGAAAAGGAAATAATTAATACTGACCTGGGAAATAATAAAAGTCACAAAGTAGATTTCTTTTCAGTTGTACTTGAAAATAAACAAACATACAAAACTCATCAAGAAGTAAAAAAAAGAAAAATGAAAAGAAGCCAGCCAATCAAAAGTTGAATAGAATCTTAGTACATTGGAACTGTATAAGTGGCCCTGGTTTGACAGTAATTTTTGTGAATGCAACCATAGTTCATATTTTCCCTGCTGGTGGCATTGTCAATGTAATTTCAACCAATCAGCACAGAGATAAAAAGGGAATATTGACAAATGTGATTTTTGGTTTTGTATACATGTCATTCTACATAAAGAAAATTTGCATTTTATTTATCTTGAAGTGATCCCAATTATATTGTCATAATTCATATACTTTCATTTACTAATGATATTTTGTATTAGTGACCAGACACAATAATTGTTTACTTAATAAAGTGTTTATTTTCCATAAGGGTGTTCTGAAAGGTTCTCAGCCCAATTAAAGATGGATTCAAAAACAAATTTGGATGTTATTAGGTCAAATTCAATTTCCATCTATCACACTGAGCATTTGCTCTTCTAAGGAGGCTTCTTGCCTTGGTCACATATTTAGACTTAAGCTCAACCCTAGAACCTCAAGTGGAATTTATTGCTAAAGATGAAAAAAAATGGTTGGTTCCCTGTATTGCTCTAGTAAGTATCAGACTCTTCCTACTACTTTTACAAAAAACCGATCAAGTCAAAAATGGAGTACTGTTGCCATATTTGACTTGGTGCTGATCAGTCTTCACTTTGCATCTACATGGGGGTGTAGGTGGTGAATTGTTTCCCACAGATGAAATGTTGCAAGTTTCTTGCCATTTTATTGCTATTTCCATAGAAAATGTTCTGATGAGCTGCATTGCTTCATTCTACCATTCACAGCTCAGACCTGCCATTGCCATGTACACTGTAGCAAATCAACCTAATTCCCTTCACATTCCTTTCATGAAATCTAAGTTCCACTTGAACAGCTTCTTGCCACTACTGCATGGAACCAAACCTCACTATAATCTTAACCTGTTCTAGCAATGTCCACTTTTTTGGTAAAAAAGTGGGATACCCTGAAGAAAAAGGCCCCAACCTTAATAAAAACAAAGTTTTATTATGAAAAAGTTTGTTATTAATAAGTGGAGAGACCAAAATATTTTTTAGTTATTTTATAAAATTTTTTTTATTCCTTTTTAGCACATTTGAAATTTTATTTGAAAAAATTTTTTTTTCTTTTCAGGTCAGAGGTCGACATAATATTTAGCATTAGGTTTTTTTTCTTAGTGCATTTTTCAGTTGAAAACACGTGGAAATTCTTGTAAAAATCAAATAATTGTTGGATTTTAATGAAACTTTCAAAACTTTAAAAAAAAAATGAATATTTTTAGAAAGTCATGGTAAATTTTTTTTTTTTTTTTACATGTTACCCCCACTTTAATTTTATGAAAAGTTGAAAACTCGAAACCGAGTGTCACTGTAATTTTTTTTAATTAAATGCAGAAGACCTTGAAGAATATAAATCATCAATTTTTTTTTTGTAAAGAATTATATGGAAATACCCAAACTTTAGCTCTGAATTGAAAAATACAAAACTCAATAAAACTAAGACATTAATTAAAAAAGCTTTTAATGGGTTTTATGAATAATATATATTAAGGACGTTTTTGTCTGAAGCCCAAATTTTTTTTCATGAAAAATGAATGTTACAAGAATTGCTTCTCCCCCCCCCCAATTTTAAATGAAGAAAAACTGAAAAACTTGATGTTTTAAATTAAGTTTGAAACTGAGTGACTCATAAAATAGAAAGTTTACTACAATCTGTTACATGCATCTATTTTTAAAATAATTTTTTATGCCAAAAAGAAATGTATTAAAATTGTCTCTGAGAAAACCATGGAAGCACATTTCTGAAAAAAATGTCACGTGTGCTAGAGTTATTTCCCCTGATTGTGAGGAATTATTCATTATACTTTCATACTGTTAGCACATGTCAAATTCTCTGAGTGACCATAAACATCACATTTTCAAAATTTTTCTTGTAATAAAATCTCATTTCATAAAGGAGTTATCTGCTTCATTTATGAAATGTAATGGTATTTTAATTTTTATATTCTCTCAGGAAAAAAAAAAAAATTCATAGTTGAGACGATATAAAGCTTAATTTAAAAAAACACAAATTTTATAATAGGTGTATATAACAATTATGTTACTCTTTTTTTTTGTCTGTTATAAAATTTGTATTCTAAATATATTTTTCATAGTTTAAATATTTTTATTCCAGAATTCTCTCTCAAACGTAAGGTAAAACAAAAAAATTTTTGAAAATGTATTTTTTTTTTATTTAACTACTAACCAGGTTCCCTTAAAATTAGCACAAATTTTGTCATTCTATCCTACCATCCAACAAATTCACTTGAAGTTGTCTCTACATTGATGTGCATCAATTCACACTTCCCAAAACCAACTACCACAGTTGGACATGGCTCTCTTAAAATTTTTTCTGCTACAAGAGTAAGTAATATTTCTTTCAAATTACATTAAGCATACTTTGAAATTTCTAATTTTCCTAAAATAACTTTTGGAAACAGTATAATTGAATTTTACAATATTTTTAAACAGAGAAATTCACTTTTGTTTACAAAACTGTCAATGATGGCTGACATGATTGATTTTACAATTTTGATGACTCCCCCACCCCAAAAAGATACCATCATTTGTGATTAGTTTCTGAAAGTTTCATTAAAATCTGACAATTATATTTATTTTTGCAAGATTTTCAAAATTAACGTCTATCATAAAAAAAAAAAAAAATGCACTAGAATCTGCTATGTTATTTTTAGTATTTCCGCTGACGAAGAGAAAAAGGTTTTCTTTGTTTTTTTAAATCAAAGTTAGAATTTCTAAAATGAAGGATAACCTTTTTTTAAATAATTAAAAAATACTTTGTTCTTTCCTCTTAATAGTAACAAACATCTTAACAATAAAATTTTGTCTTCGTCAAGCCTAAGGCTGTTTTTATCATGCTATATGCATTTTCCAGCAATCCGAGAATTTCACTTTTGTTTACAAAATGGAAAAAAAAAAAAGGGGGGGTGACACAATTGATTTTCTGTCAAGTTTGCCAACTCATAAATAAATAAAAAAAAAAGATTTTTAACGAAAATTTCGGACATGTTAGGAATGATTAAAAAATGTAATAAAATAGTCAAAAAATACTTTGATCTTTCCTCTAAATAATAACACGTAGACAATAAAAATTTATTTTCATCAAGTTTAAGGCCCTTTTTATTCATACTCTTTTCTGTGAAGATACCTAGTTTAAAATTCTTTTAAAAATCAAAGTTTATTTAATATATTTTTAAGCAAATATTACTTTTTGTGCCAAAAAAAAAAAAAAAAAAAAAAAAAATAAATAAATAAATAAATAAATGTAGTTTAAAAATAAAACAAAGCATGTCTTAACAATGTTATTGGTTGATGAGTGATGATTTCATCATCTATCGACAGTTTACATGAGGGAAAGTAATCATACAGAAGGACAGAAGTAACATAATTATTTAGTTTTAAGGAAACCAACTTATTTACCTAGTTATTTTTAAGGAAAACTTTCACTGCTTTAATTTTGTTTTGTTTTTTTGTACTTAGCTTTCACCTTTGTATGGAAAGTACATCAAAGTGTCTTTAAATTAAGTGGTAGAAGAAGAATTATTGTTGAACTTTTAAAAGGTAAGCTTAAATACAGCGATCAATTTTGAGTTCTATAGTTTATTGTTATTTATCGCATCTACTCCTCCCTTCGTATTGTGATGAAGGCCCAATCAAGAGCCCCAAAAAGCTAGCTTAAATGCTTGAAGTTGAACACAAAACACACATTATATATATATATATATATATATATATATATATATATATGGAAGAGAGAGAGAGAGGATTAGTCACACAAGAGAATACTGAATCACTCTTGGCCAGAACCAATTCTCAAAATCTAACCAAATATCAAAATTTTTTTTTTGGGGGGGGGAATAGGGGCTCTTTGTAAGACCAGAAAACTTTCTGCATCACACCTTGTACAAAAAATTTTAAAATTGGTAATAGAGACTGAATTGGAAGCAGCTATAAAAGATGACATCTTGGAATTTGGTTATTGATTCTTGAAAGCAAGGAAAAGGCCTTTTTATTTCAAATTTGGCTGGAAAGGAAGAGCATAATGATGATGTGCATTGAAAATAACAAAAACCGACTCTAAAACAGTTCCTTGCTAATGCTAACTGAGTGAAGAGTGTCATGAAATGCGCAATCACTTAAATGATGCCATAGCAGATTATGAAATTCTTAATAGTAAAAGAAACAATTCTACATATAAGCCATTGTACACTCTGGCCTTCTTTAGGTGATATACATTAGACTTTCGGACCAAACCCTTTATTTAGTCCATGGAGGTAGATTATTCTAGTTTCACGTGCCATGCCTTTTCTGAATATCTCAGTTTTCAGTGAATTCCCTTTAGTAACGCAACTCTTCAAGTGTTTTTTAGGCATTGCAGAATTGCAGCACCATTGTTGAACAAAATTAACACCGACTACAACTATATACCCTTGATGTATACATAATTTCTTGGAATACTTGGTAGAGGATTATTTAGACTCTTTACATTTCAGACTGTTATCCTCATCTTTGTTGCCATTACCATGTTTCTGTCAGTGTACACATTGACCTTCTTCAGGTGATTGGAATTTCTTCCTAGTGTAGCCAGAGTATGAATATCTCAGCCATAGGGTTGGTTTTAGTAATGTTGATTCTAATGCCATTTCTTCAAAATATTCCATGTATATGTTTGCCATTCCTGTCGATATACACCTGATCCCATTCTGTTGTTTGTATATAAAAATTCAGCATCTCCATCTGGTCCATTCTCCTATGGAGGAGTCCAAGGCTAGCCTGTCCCTGACTACAGATAGTTCCTCCTGTGTGGGTACATTGGTGAACAAACTCACCACATCCGGGCTCACTATTGGACAGGAGCATCTTTAATCATTTTCACAAAGTGGACGGTGTTTCGGACATATGAAGGTGACTTTCCTATTAATGGGTCAATTATATTTATAAGGAAGCACAGCTGGCCTGAGCAGAATACAGTCTTTGCAAATTTTGATAAGGTAACTTGGTGTAATGCTGCAACAACTGCCTGTATGTCTTAGGTGGGAAGTGGCTCTTGTTCTTGATAAGAATCTGTGGCAGCTTTTGCTCTGCTTTCATCGCTGAATCTTTCTTTACTGTAGCTACCATTTCTAATGAGGCCTTCCAGTTTTTCTGTATATTCCATTTTGTCCTTCTCTACAGTCGGTTTCAGTTTGAAATTCCAATCACTTGAAGAAATCAGGACCATACAATGGCTGAAATATTGTGAATATGGCAAGAAAGATGAGGACAACAGTCCGAACAATTTAAATAGTATAAATAGTCAAATACCTCATCATGGAAATATAGACAGATATTGGTAGAGGATGTTGATTTTTTTTTTTTTTGTTTTTGTTCAAGACCATTCTTATCCCAACTATGAATAGCTATGCCATCAGCATAGCCCCCTCCTCATCAGTACATTAGTCTCAGGAGGCAAAGCAGGGTTGCCATCTTATATCAGTGGATTCGTTTGGGATATGATATGGAATGCTTAAATAATCAGTGCCCATCTCTTCACAATCTGTGCTTGTATATGTGAAGAGCATAGTCTGATAAATGATTAAACAGACTAGGGCTCTGATTTCCTCCATGTCACACTCCAGATGAGGTTTGGAATATTCCAGTATTGGGAGCAATCACCAGACATGTACAATTTTATGGGCAATGTAGTCTTCTCACATCTAGACATTCAATGGAGTTCAATAGAATTAGACAACAAAATTATATATATATATATATATATATATATATATATATATGTTCTTAACACCTGGAATGCATCCCCATACACACCATAATGAATTTTTAAGTGGTACTTTGAAAACTGTAATTCTTAAAAAAAGAGAGGAAAATAATGAAAAAAAAAGAGTGGGTCTGTAGACTAAAGGGAAAGTTATGTCCTGATCCATTATTAATTCCTTCAGATCACTGGGCTCCTATACTGCAATCAAGAAGCAAGCCAGTCAAGAGCTAAGTAGAATATATAGACTTTTAGACTTCAAAACTTTACAATCTAAGAACTTCCATCTGCACCTGCCAGCATTATCTTGTGGTAGGCACTCTGAACCTTGCTTGACCAGATAATAATAGAAGTAAACTCCATCAGAAACCTAAAAACATAGAGCCCTTACTCTGACTTGTCAGACTGTGCAAGTAATTCCTTGGTTTAATGGATAAGAGCAATAATGTGCATGCCAACTAAAAAAAAAAAAAAAAAAAAAAAGATAAATAAATGCTCTTCCCACATTCCCAACCAGTAAAAGCAACACCACAAAACATTGGCAAACCTTTTGCAGCTGCTATGGAATAAGTTGCTTTTTTTTCCGTTTTTTTTTTATAGGTCAAAAACAAATCTATAGCATATATGAAGTTCCCTTGCAAATCTTTGTCCAAGGTCAAGATGATATTATAGGGGTTGTTGCATCCCCTGAAATAGCTGTTCTCTTTCTCTCTCTCCTTTCTCACGAGCAAACCTATTGTAGAGGAGATATGAGCGACGATGATGCAGCCAGTCACTGCCAACCAGATCTGTTGTCTGCCTCATGAAACAGCATTGGAGTAACTATTACTAACGTGATTATGTAACATTTATTTTGAGCTATTTTCAATGGCATATAGAACTATATTTTATATAGATGTTAAGGTTCAATTAAGTGTAATTTATCATTGGCTACAAATAGGACATCAATGATTGCCTGATCTTAATTTCTTATACAAATATTAAAAATACAATGGGATATAAAACAAAAACAAAGTAAAAAAAAAAAAAAAAGACCCAAAAAGAACTCACGTCTTGATCTTCATTAGGAGCAATAGAAGTGACATAACCTTCAAATTTGCTCGATGAAGAACCGTAGATATCAGTATCAAAGTGGCCTTCAGATCCAAGGCCAACACGGTCTCCATTATCTTGAAATAAAGCATTTTTCTTCTGCTGAAGCGTCCGCACTTGCTCTTCAATATCTGCAAGGAAAAACGACCAATTAGCAACAATTACATATTTCTAAAATAATAAAACAAATATACATAACATTTCATATTGTCTATTGTAAATAGTAAAATATAAAGTAGTAAACAAGAAACACAAAACTGATACAGTGAGAGGAGAAATTCTAACAGAGATAGGATATCTTCATCAGAATTGTGGAAAAATTAAAGCAGGTAACTCTAAAAACAATTCAAGATCTTCCATCAAACCTTAGAATTTCTTCAATGACTGTTTCTCATCATTTGAATGTAATTGGGAAAACATCATATAAATTGAGAAAACATCAGAAACTTGTCATGTTATATGTAAATACCATGTGTTTGTCATGGCATTTACATATAACAATAAAAACCTATTTCTAAAATAAATAATGACTTATGAAATACTGGTCCTTTACAATCATCTTAAATGCATATTTGATTTAAAAACTTATTTCATCTACCTGATTGATAACGGCTTTTCTGGATGCTTATGACATCAGACCAACATGAAAAGACTGTTAGATTATATAGAAAATGTTGACTATCACAGCCTACAAATTTCTGATGAAGAAAAGTTCATGTAATGAGAAATTCCTAGCATTTAGATGAAATCACAGTTGCCAAGTCAAAGAAAACCAATCTTTACTATCAGAAATATATACAATTCATTGGACCCTTGAAAAATTTATGATTATAATCCATGGAATATAGTCACATGTATCAAGTACTTAAATATTACTGGCCCAGCAACATATTTTAATAAGAGAAGGTAATAAAAGAACAAAGGATAGGAAATTGTGGAGAGCCATGATTGCTCCCTTCCTGGGACATGGCATATAAAAGAAGAATGAATACAAATATTAAAACTTGAATTTTAAAAAAATGAAATGAAGAATCTACAGTCTTCCAAGGAAGGATTTTATCATTATTATATCTTCAATTCTTCTTTACAAATATTTTAATGATTTAATTTGCCTTAATCAAAAAGGCTATCAGGTTCCACTTGTCATAGCATTTTTGCTGATTTAGCCATTAAATGCCACTAACTGGTTGGCTGGGTGAGCAGTCAGTTGTGCTGATTTTAGACCTCACAGATTTTGAATTCAGCGTTGTCCTTCTTCTGAAGGATTTAACAGAAAAACATTTGCTAGAATTCAAATATGTAACTCTGTATGATGCACTTATTACAGTTTGAATATCAAACAATATTCTGCATGTTATTGTGTCCTGCTTACCACTTAGTAAAGATAAAACCATAATATACCTATGCAAAAAGAAAATCAGGAACAACAACAGGAATATTATAGATGTTTTAAGGCAACACTGAAATAACATTCACTCAGTACTAGAAAGTAAGCAATGTGGAGATTAGGCTGAATACTGCAAAATATGAGCAACTATCAATGAAAATATAAGAATCATCTTATCTTCTATCCAAGTTGGGACAGTATTATTGATTACCAACTAATTATACCAGGTGTAACAGCTGGCAGAAGCAAATTCAGTGTTAAAAAGATCAATATTCAACTGTTTGTTTGTCCCTGCTATGATCACATTCAAAGTCCATTGATCCAATTTAGGCTTATGAAGACACAAGACATCCAAATGGAACATAGGCCATGAGAAGTTTGCATCAGAAATCATTTAACCATGGTATGCCATTTCAAACCAAATGAAACATTGAGCTTGTGAGGTTTTAAAGTTGAATTAGACACCACCCATGAAAGTGTTGGGTTCCTTTTAAATGTAATTCATGATACAAAATGATGAGGTAACAATAATACACATTTGTATTTTCAATGCAAATTATTGTAATAATTATTACTATTCACATTATACAATATTACTGAGATCAAACACAATAATTAATGGAAAGGTTTTCAGAATTTGTGAATAATGTAGTAATAACTTGTATTGCAAATACAACTTAAAATGTCTAACAAAACTGATATTATTACCTCAACATCTTGCATCATGAACTGTACAAAATTACAAATATTAGATTTTAAAGCGAATTTTAAATTTGTTGTTTACATTTTTTTTGGTATACAATGGTAGTATGATAAGTTGAGGAGGTAATGAAAAAGTTCTAATGCTTAAAAAGTTTACAGATGGAAATTAACTTTTTATTTTAATTCAGTTAAGCTTTAAACCATTATCTTTCTAATAGTACCAAAATTTAAGTTTGAAGAAGGCATTTAAAATGTTTTTCATTTTCTTTTTTTAAAAAAGTCCACTGCGGTACCTAATTTATTTATTAACATCAAGTCATGTGACACATATAGCCTCTTCACCTCTTGCCAAATATTTGGCAAACATCAGATTTTGTTTATAAAAAAAACAAGTTCTAATGTAATGTAGTGAATTGTATAAATATATATTGTTTTATGCTTATTTAAATTGATTTAATGATGTTATAATGTATAATAGAATGTTTATTATTTTTCACACATAATATTTGGACTTGGAATATAAATAGCAAGTGTTTGTTTATATGTGGATCAACATAAGAATGTGTATTAAAAACAAATACTGAATTTCCTATCAAAAATGCAAAAACAGAAAAATGGCCATGGCTCAACAACTTGTCTAATTTTAATGAAATTTGGTACTGCATGCAACAGAGATTCAAGATACAAATTGTTTGGTGTATTATGCACCATTTAAGCTGTATCTTGGGAACATACACACAAGCTTACAGTTTTACTATTATATATGTAGAGTACGTGTGTAAGTGATACATTAGATGAAAAGAGTGATAAATAACACACTCAAAATAACTGATCATTTTTTTCTAATTTTAAAATTATTTACAAGTTTCTTTTTTATATTCTTAAATATGGATCAAATAAACTGTGATAAAACTAGCTTATGAAACATCTAGGAAGCAACAAATTCACCAACAATGGCTTGTGAGATAAGCATAAAGGATGTTCCTAAAATTAAAATCACAAAAGTAATTTTACAAAATTTCAATATCACTAAAAAGTGTACATAAAATACTTAATGTTACCAAATAAAAATCTTTCTTTCATTTTTTTTTTTTTAGTTTCAATCAATATTTGTTCATCCCTGGATATAGTTTTACAAAATAAACATAAAAGTAAAGAGAAATGGTGTATCATTTTGATGTTTACAAAGTGTCTGTAAACACAAATGCACAACTGAAAGAGAAAAGAAAAAAAAAAAAGAAGTAAGCTGATCCTCCAACTAATAAGTGCAGGTGTTCAATAGAAAATGACAAAATTACTAATAACTTTGTAAGTTTCATTTATCGACAATAAACAAAAACAACTTGATAAGAAGATGACAGTATTTTTGTAACAACAACTCAATCAAAATATCATGTTATCAAATAACCTGAGAATTTGATAAGAACAAGTCAATAATTTTTTTGTTTTTAGACAAAATTAACCCCCACAAAAGCAACTATGTTAAAAACTGATACAAACTAAATTTATTTTACTGTTGTACTTCTTTAAATTATTTGAAAGTACAGAAGTTATTTTTTTTTAAATACATATAGGTACCTCCATTAATTAATGGGGGAAAAAAAAAAAGCATGATGAAAAAAAACCTCAAAGTTTTATCAAAATGTTTATTACTATCAAATTTTTTAATCTTTTCTAAAGAAAAATTAGTTAATGATTAGTATAGGAAATTTTGGATTCTTTTTTGTGATGAAAAAAAAATTGATTTAGAAATTCTTGCAAAAATCAAATAATTATTGGATTTTAATGAAACTTTCAGGACTTATTCCCTATGAAATTATTATTATTTTAAGAAAATCTTGGTAAAAATATTTTTTTTTTTTGCATGTATTAGCCCCACTTTCTTTTATGAAATTGAGAAATTAAATTTCACCACTTTCTTTTATGAAATTAAGAAATTAAATTTCACCCCCTTCATTAGTTAAAAGCAGGATTCCCTAGAGAATTTTAGTCATTTTTTTTTCCCTAAACAGAAACGCCATTTATTGAAAATCTGCTCTGAATCATGAAATAATTATTTTCATCATGGTACACTAAATTTTTAGCAAGTTTGTGGTGGTACCTAATAAGTTAAAACTCATGAACAGTACTTTTAAAGAAATTATTTTGTAATGTTTTATGATGAAAGTAAAATGCTATCACAGTGCATAAAAGAAACACATCAACCACACAATTTAGAAATAAAGAAAAAAAAAAAATTTTTTTTTTTTTCAAACAGCATTTTATTAAAATGTCTATGTCTTTCTTGTTAGATTCCACCAGAAAGGGATCCACAATTTTGAACATTGTAATTAAGCAAAAAAAATAAAATAAATAAAAATCCAAATTCTGTTTCCATAGCGTTGATACAATCAAAGATAACATCAAATCAAAATTTCATTTCAACTGAAACAAGACAATCACAATTTTGTTGAAGTCTAAAAATGGTAATGGATGATTTTGTCCTTGATTTTTTGAAAATGTGCACCTTGCCTTCACAAAATTGACAAAATGAGGCCAGGTAGTGATATTTTAACTATCAATTGTGTTAGGTAACTTCATCTACCCAAATTGTTTGCTTGTCATTTTCCAGCCCTGAAAGCCAAGCTTGCTAATCAATCTGTCAGTATCACAGTAGACAAAATAACTGATTGTTGTGACCACAGCTTTTTAAATGTTATTGCAAGCATGTGGGAAATCATTTCTTATCGATATTGTAACCCTGACAGAATGCAATCATCAAAACTAAGTTGGGCATGCATCTGAGCCATAATTCATGTTGATATAGCATTTTGAGGATATTACTGCATTTGTAACAGGGTCTGCAGTTTATTGTAAAAAAAAAAAAAAAAAGCTCATAGAAAGTTTTATCAAACGTGCTTGTTAACAGTTACCATGTGTTTCACACTGACCAGAATTTGATAATGTTAGCCAGCTCAATACTTTCATCAAGTCATCCTTTTTTTTTCTTTTTAAAAACCTAGCCATAAACAGCAATACTTAAACTGACTTGGAAGATGCTTG